CCCAATTATGCCTGAAAATATATTTTTAACAAAAAAAAAATAATTTAATTTTTTATTTTTTTTATAAATTTTTATTTTTTTATTTTTTTTTTTTTATTTATTTTTTTATCTATTTTTCATTAAAAACTAATTATAACAGTGGGCTATTTTGTATTAATATACTAGATAGAAAGGTTTAATGAATATAAATATTGAAATACATATTTAACTGTCGAAGACCAAAGGTCGAAACTCTTTGCATTTATCTTACATTAATACTTAGTTTTAAAAACAACTTTAATTAAATATTGAATAGCAGTGTGAAAAATAACATTGGTTCTCTGTGACATAGTTGCTTTGTTTACATCAGCCATGGATCAAATACCAATAGTAGAAATTATTTAATTCCCACACCTATTTGAAAAATGTTTAGAATACATTTTAATGGAATTTTTCTTTTATCCACTAATTATTATCAATAATATATAAGCCTATTTTTATATATTTATATATATATATATATATATATATATATATATGTGTGTGTGTGTGTGAGTGTGTGTTTATATTTAGGGTCTTTGTTAATTTCAGAGGTCAATCTAGTATTGTTCGAAGAGTCATAGAAAAATCATCAGGTAATGAGTTTGCTGCCAAATTTACATTTGTCCGTAAAGACACAAACAAAGAATTCTTTCGTCATGAACTGGATAATCTTTTAAGAATGAGCAGTAAATACATTGAAAAACTTCATGATGCCTATGAAACCCAGCGGCAGCTCATACTTGTTCTGGAACTGTATCCTTTTAATTAAAGTATTGAGTAAGCTTGTACACCCTTTATCCTGACTTTTTTGTGTTAATGACAGAGATAATGCTATTTTCTTTTCTCTTGTATTCCCTACAATTATATCAAGAAAATTCTTTTCTGAATACGAGACTTCAATTATATTTTTCAAAATTACAAACTTTCAATTTATAGTTTTTCTGCACAAATTCTGTCATGTATTGTTTAAACATTATTTCTTTTTATATTTAGGCTTACTTATTATCATATTAATTGGCATTTGTAATCTGAAATTACCTTTACTAGTATTAGAGTAAAAGGCGATGATCTTTTGGATTTAGTCACCAGTGACATTAACTGGTGTGAAGCAAAAGCTGCCCAAATTGTTCAATTACTTTTGCAGTCATTGAAAGATGTTCATAGCTCCAATGTTATTCACTTGGACATTGAGGTAATACAATCAATACTAAATCTCTGGTTTATGTTTACTGTTGTTTTTATTTTTAAACGTGTTGTTTTTATTTTTAAACGGTGTCATAAATTAGATTATGCAATTGTTTATTATTCTATGAATGAGAAGCATATGAAGAAAAGAAGCTAGTTGAAACAATACTTAAAAGTACCTGTTTGACTATAAACTTAAATATTTTAATAACTATACAGTAGTACCTCTAGTTACAAATTTAACTCAGTCATTAATGTTGCTCATATGTCAGATTGCTTGTATCTCAAGTAATTTTCTCCATTGAAATTAAAATGTCATTAATCCATTCCAGCCCCTAAATGCAGCTCCTGTTCTTTAGTAATCTGATTTTAATAAATGTATAAAATGTACAGAAGTAAGTGAGAATATGCTTTGGAAATCAGTCGCGCTTACAGAAGATGCTGTCAGACGAGTAGGGGGAAGATAGGCAGAGCACCTTTGTTCACTTACTCTCTTCACTGTTAATGCTAAACTCTTTCTGTCACTTTAATTCACTTACTCATAACACACTTAATAATACACTTTATCACTAAACCTAATGGAACTTACTATGCTTCACAGAACATAATTGCAATTGAATGCTACTGTACTATTTTTTGTTACTTTCACTTAATTTTGGCAACTGCTTTTCTCTGCTCTGGTCTTTGCCTTTTTTGTAACACTTTCCTTGTTTTGCAAATGCAGGCCGTTTTAAAAAATACTGTTAAAACAAATTAAACTGCTCAATGTCAAATGTTTTTCTGGCTTAGGATAGTAGATAAAAAATTGATAAATAATATTTAACAATATTTATTAAATATTAAAAACTAAATTTGCTATTTAAACAGCTTTACTTCAGTTTATTTTCCTTTTCTTCTGGCATTGGTTATTATGTTAAGGGTCTTAATTAAAATAAATTCAAGGTTAAGATTATTTATATTTCCGATTAATCCGTAAGTCTACACAGTTATATTGCGTTTATTAGTGTGATCACTGAAATATCACTACTTATTTGTTTTTAAAAAATCCTACTAATTTTGCTGTCAGTTCAAGTAATGATTAAATTAAATTTAACTTTTAGTTTATTAATAAAATTAATCAATTTAAAAATAGTTTATTGTTTACGGTAGGGGAGATAATTTTTAAAATCTGATGATAAATTATATTTACATTCAATTTTTTTTCTTAACCTCATTAGTTGACTATTGTTATGTTACTATATTTCCATTTTGATGAAAGATTAAGATTGTGTTTTATTGTAATAGCTAGCACTATTGGTTATGCATGGATGACCTCCTCAAAAATTGTGTCAGCCTAAAGCAATGCATGGGATGGTTAAATTAAGAGACAATTATGATTAATGCAATGATCAGAGTTAAGGATTTGGTGGCTATGTCAGCATCGAAAACACATTTTAGAGACTGCCATTTGGGGTGTCAAGCTGTGTAAAGTGGTGTGCATTATGGTGTGGAGCAAGGTGGTTTGGGTTTTGATCTACTCTGTGTGTTGTGTTTTTTTATGTGTTTAGTTTGGTGTATGGTGAAGGTGTGTATGGTGTTAGTAATTGGGTGTGGTTCATGGGGTTAGTGGGGTGAGCTTTGGATTATGCTATGTGGTGTAGTGGGATGTGTTGTGTTGGTAAGAGAAAGATGATTGGGATGATCTGGTTGGGTGATATGGGGTTTGGTTTAGGGCCTTTGTTAATTACAGAGGCCAAACTAGTATTGTTCGAAGAGTCATAGAAAAATCATCAGGTAATGAGTTTGCTGCCAAAATTTACATTTGTCCGTAAAGACACAAACAAAGAATTCTTTCGCCATGAACTGGATAATCTTTTAAGTATGAGCAGTAAATAAATTAAAAACGATTGGTTATGCATTGATGACCTCGTCAAACATTGTGTCAGCCTACAGCAACGCATGGGATGGTTAAATTAAGAGACAATTATGATTAATGCAATGATCAAAGTTAAGGATTCATGGTGATGAGAGAGTTGGGGTGTGGCTTTCTTTAAATTTCCCCTTCTGTTATCCTCTCCTCTTAATTCTTGTTAATATAGAATTTTGTAAAAGTACTTTGCAGAATTTCACACAGTTTCGAAGCACAGTTTTATATATATATATATATATATATATATATATATATATATATATATATATATATATATATATATATATATATATATATATATATATACATATATATATGCACTGCTGTGAATACATAAACATTTGATATTAACATGATATAAAAAGAAAAACAGGATATAATTTATATAAACCTTACAAAATCAGTATGAAACAAAACAATAAAGCAATATTATTTCCTTTTTTTTAGCCAACAAATGTCTTATTCACTGGCAGTGAATACAATTCATTACATCTCATTGACTTTGGATATTCTCGTAAACTACCATTGTCAAGTGAAATCTGCTTCAACTATGGAACACCTGAATTTTGCTCACCAGAAGTTATTGAAAATCAGCCAGTGAGCAGTGCAACAGATATATGGGCAGTTGGAGTCATTACACATTTGCTGTGGGTCTAACTCATTTTTTTCATATGTATAAACAGTGTCTTAATTCTATTGAGTTACAAATTAAATTAGCCCATTGTATACTTAGTGCCTTAATCTATTTATCTATCCAGCCAATAGATAGATAGACAGGCATTTATATAGATACATAGATATTACATACACTCATACATTTTGTTTTACTTTTTATGTACAGGCTTACAGGTGTGATACCTTTTTTTGGGGACTCAGTAACAGAGATCTTATCTCAAATACAAGTCTGTCAACTAAGCCTCGATGGTAGCCTTTATTCAGAGTTCTCACAAGATGCTGTTGACTTTATCTCTAAAATATTGGTTCTGGATCCTAAGTATGTGCTAATAAACTTGTAACCATAACATTAAGGAATGTTTTGTTTCAAATATTTTTGTACAATAAATTATTGGTTTTTACAGGTCACGTCTTTCTTTGGATGCATGCCTGAATCATAACTGGTTCAAAGTTGTTAGCAAAAAAGAATCCAAAAAGATTGATACTGGCAGGCTGAAGGTGTTCAGTGAGAAATACAAAGAAAATGTAAGTATCAGGCATTCTTTACCAATGCATAATTGCTACCATATCAACAATTAATTAGTTTTCATTATTGTTCATTTTGATGTTGGAATTCAAGCTAACAAATTTCCTCTAAAGAAACTTCTTGTATAAACATGGTATGGTGACTAGAAATATAACACTAAAAAGTACTAAGTATTTTGTTAATATGATCAATAAATGTTTTAGATTAATGATTAATTGAACATTACAATTGAAAGTTAACACAACTATGTTAAGAAAGGAAGAATTGAAAGTGTTCATCTTATTTGCTGTCAGCTGATCACACAGACACACAGTATATTCCCACTTTTTAAATTAAAAAATATAAATATATTATGTCGCAATTTTGATGCTGCTTCTATTGTGTTTATTATCAAGAAATTTTTTTTATATTAGCAAAGATCCAAAGGGATAAAAACACTTGCTAACCTAGTAAGTCTGAAGCAGCTGATGGATATTGAAAAACTTCCTCGGGGGTTACATCCCACCAAAAATACACAGACTGGAGAAATTGTTTTACCTAACACTGAGAAGTATGGTGAATACTCAGATCAAGAGTCATGGTTTGATTGGCAAGCTAGAAATCAATTAGGACCAGATGCCGAGGCCTCAAGTAAAAGGTGAATATATGTGTTGTTGCTTTTTACCTGCCGCATTTCATTTTAAAACAACAATTTTAGCACTAAGAAAGTACAAATTCCAATCAGGGAATGGTTTTTAAAACTTGCTTTAAAATTGTGTATCACAGGTAAGCTTATTCAAGTTGGAATCATGCACATGATAAATGTATCTAATCCATTACTTTAGATAAATAACATCCCTTCACATCAGAGTTCCTTTTGTGTGACCAAAGCAAAACTGATACCAATATTAAAGCTCAATTTTTATTTTATAATGTCTGGACATTTTTAGCATTTCGGAAACGGAAGTAGTCCCGCCTCCTCTTGAGAAAGAATTAAGATGGATGGAGGAATTCAGTGACCCAGACAAAACTGAAGTACCCATTTCAGTGCACAGTGAATCAAAAAGATCATCTGTGGCATCCATCTCTTCAGAAGGTCAGTTTAACCTCATAAAACCAAACAGAAATTATAATTATTAGACCCAACATTCGGAAAATAAACACACTAGCCTTAGCCTAAATTTTATCTCATGACTTTTTCTGAAGTCATGGAATGTTTAATCTATTCTAAATTTATGTGCTTATTTCTTCATAAGTTTTCTTTTTTTTTAGGAGTGCAAGGTCCCATTTTTACTGAAAAGCTGCATGATTTAGCTTTTAGTGTTAATGACACTGTTATTTTACGATGTAAAATTGCTGGAGCTCCATCCCCTTCGGTAGTATGGTACAGAAATGAAGAATTGTTAAATGACAGTGGCAGACTTAAGGTAAATCCTATTGATGTAGTCATGTTTTGTAATGATAAAATACATCCATCCTAATGAAATACAATTTCTATAAAAAAATGTGTAAAAAACCTTTATAGCAATAAGCTTTTAACTGCGCTAAAATTAAGAAAATTAAATATACATCTAACTATTTTTTGCATTCTATTAATTCTTAATTTGACTAAAATATTTGCTTCTAAAACCATAACTTGCATGAAACTAACCATCATATCAAACAATTAATGGACATTGTCAAGTACTTATCTCCATTTTATTGTTACATTTATGTTCTTTTAATTAACTTTTAATGACTAGTTCAATATCTTATTGAATTAAATTTAAGTACACCTCCGATTTTTCGTAGACAGTGGATCTGGAAATTGCTGCATTAAAAGTTGGTCAAAGTTGAGTTACTAGATTTGCCATAAACCCACAGACATTTAGAACTTAAAAGTTTATTTTTAAAATATTCATTTATGTTTACCATTAAATTAGCTGTATTGGTCAATTTTTTAATATCACACATCTTCCTATCTCTAATAATTAGGTCTGTTTGTCAAAAAAAAAATTTTTTTCAAGGATGCAGATTACAAAAAGTATTGAAATAGTAATCGGCCTACCATTATATTTTATATGTATTACAACCACATTTGGATGATGTAATATCAAATTAACATTAAATAAATAACTGAATTCCTCTATTAGTCTTAATCCATTTTTTTAATGTAAAAATTTTCAGATAAAATTAGAAGAAGATGGTGAGGCTAGTTTGACTATTAAAAATGCACAGTCATATGATGCTGGTGTTTATAAGTGTGTTGGACGCACAAAACTGGGTAGAGTCTCCAACAAGATGAGACTGCTTATTGGAGGTAAATAACTTTTTAAAGATGAATTCATTCTTATCTGTTATGAAAAAGAGACACATGAATAATACGAAGCTGTATTTTTAAATATTTGTATTAAGCTACGTTATTAGCTGTGTTCTTACAAATAACTTTTTTTAATTCCTATATCTAGATTATGTTTCCAATGCCAGGTATGCAAAAGATTATTCAGTAAAGATCTCAAATGTTTTTACATCAACAGATGTTCCTGGAAGGCCCGGGCAACCAGTAGTTACCCAAATATCAAGTTCTAAAGCTTTAATTATCTGGGAGGCACCAAAATCAGTTGGTCATTCTGATGTGTTATTCTATAAAGTAGACTACAAAGAACAAAGTAAGAAGATAAACCCTGTGTTGTGCATTTGAAATAGTTTTTAGCATTTTCTTATGTTTACTTTGTTGATTTGTATATTAGCCATTTAATTGTGTTTGTTTCTCATAAAATAATTTTAGAAAATGACAAGTGGACTGTAGGAATTTACACAACTCAAGAGGTTGCTTTAGTTGATTTCCTTAAACCTGAAACTTGGTACAGATTTCGAGTTTCTGCAACTAATCGCTTTGGTACCGGTCACTATAGCTGGTCATCTGCTGAGTATCATACTAAATCTGAAGGTATATAGAAGAATTCCATTAGTGGTTTTTTAATATTAGGTATTGTTAAATCTTCAGTTATTTTTCTCAGATGATTGCCTCAATAATGCAGCAAACAATATAATTGATAATAATAGCAAAAAATCAATTTTATATGGATTTAACGATAAAAAAAATCTTTGAAGCAGTTCTAATGCTCAAACTTCAAAATCCACTTTTCAAATTTAAATTTGATTTGCTTTAACATTGGTGAAGAGCAAAATAAGTTAGTAGCTTTATTTTACCACCATAACATCTCTAGTTGCTGAACTAGACAGCAGAACTACACTTGAAGTTTTATGTGGCACAGCTTACAATTTGTCTTACTAGGCCCATTTTTTTAAATTTTTAACTTTAACTTCATCAGTCTGTAACTTGTTTTTAATAAATTCTATACATTTATGTAATTGGTATTTGTTTTATAAAACTTATGACCATTTGGCCTTTTGTCTGGATCCCCATAAAGTTGACAGTTAATATGGCAGGTGGAGTCTACTTGTTTGCATGATTTAGATCTATATATATTATAATATTTTAAAAGGATAGTGTGGTCTATTATTTATCCAGCCGCCTTTGCTTTCCTTTTGTCATCAGAACCTGAAATTTTCAGGTTAGCAGTTTACTGATTGAATCAAATATTAGAAATTATAAAAATATTTTTTTGGATTGTTTATTAAATATTATTGGGTTATTTTCTTATAGAGCTGAAAAACGTTTTAACAAATTATTTTTTGTAGGCAGTGCATTAAAAACAACTGGTGAATTTTTCAACCTTAGCAAGCTGAACTCTGCACAGACATTAATACAGCCAAAGATGCCATCTGACATTGATGACATTGCAGAAGAAACCAAAATTGAAGTTCCTACAATCCAATTAATACAGCCTGACAATCTTTACAATATTGGAGATGTTATTTACACGTACTTTTTTCATTTTCTCTCATTCTTGACATTTTTTTTGGATGTCAGCAGTTTTCGTTTTCAGTTATTATTTTATATACATAAATCTTGATCTATTTATATTTATATTTCTGATAAATTCTTTTAAATAAATCAAAGATTCACTAGAAGTGCATTCCAACTACTTTTACAGTTCTCTAAACTCTTGAAGTGACATAGATCTATGTATTAATAATAGCACTGCATGTATTAAGCCTAGTTCTAAAAGGCTAATTTTTTAAATTGCAATATTTTTACTTGTAACAATGTAAGTCTATAGTTTTAGATTTGTCTAATACTTACCAGTAGTACGATTATACAATTAAACATTTTTAGAAATCCTATAGTCAATAGTTTTTTGTTGCTAGATGTAATTATTAGATACAAATATTTAGTAAATTTATCACACTTGTTTGAGTATTTGTTTATTTTTCCCTTGTTTAACAGAGGTAAATTTTATGAAGAGAAAAGTATCACTCTACCCTCTGACAACGACAAACCTTTCAGGCTCAAAACTACCCCGTTAAAAACAGGACTTAATGAATTTGAGATTTTGAAAACTCTGAAACATGAAAAGCTCGTTCGTATGTTTGCAGCATTCACTGCTGAAGACAAAATTCATCTTGTATTAGAACATGCAGAAGGCGATCACATTGCCTTACATCTGTCACACAAGAGAATGTATTCAGAGCATGTTGTGGCATCAGTCATTAGACAGGTATTCTTCTTTTAACAATTCTTATTTTAAATTATTAGTGACATTAACAAAAATAATCAGAATGTTTACTGAAGTAATAAAGATTGTTAACACCTATATTACCTTTTGTCATAGAACTCTTTAAACTTTTAAAAATTTGTTAGCACTGTCAGGTAAGATGTAGGCATACACATTTTCAATTCATGTGTTAAACAGAGCTGTTTATAAAAATTATGAACATTTATCTGCTTATTTAAGACTACTCAGTTGTCATTTTGCTGTACTTCAACTACACTAATAATATCTATCCCTTACAGCTGAATCCATCTGAATTATATTGCAGACTGTACCCTAAAACTGAAAAAGTATTCTTTATCACACATACATACATACAGATATATATATATATATATATATATATATATATATATATATATGGGTGTATGTGTTTGTGTGTGTGTGTGTGTGTATGTAAAAAGATGAAGAGGTTGTAATTAAAATTGTGTATCTTTGTCTAACTTTTTCACCAGGTATTGAATGGATTAGAGTTTTTGCAGCACTCAAACATTGTCCATCTCAATCTACAACCTGCTTCTGTAATTGTTTCCAAGTTGGAGGGATGTGAAGTTAAACTTACTGATTTTTCTTTTGCCAAATTTATTCCAAGTCCAGTTGGGGAAGTAGTTCCCAGACAAGGATATGCTGACTTTATTCGTAAGACCAAAATTAGTTAAATATAATTTGAATATTACATAGAAAAATATAGGCTATAGAAATATGTCCCTGTTGTTATTATGGTATGAGGTATACAGATCAATATTTTTCATTTCAGCTCCAGAAATTATTGTTCAAGATTTAGCTGGATTTGCTGCAGATGTTTGGGGTGTTGGTGCAATAGCATTTTTACTGTGAGTAATCAAAGGTCTATGCTAGTATTGTTTAATACAGTAATATGTACCTGTTTGTTGAATGTAGTTTTACTAAAAACCCAAAACCAATTGTATAATTTAATGGCAATGGACAGAAGTGTTTGAAAGCAAAGAATCTTAATTTTTTAAAAGTTCTATTGTATAAGTAAAGGATTACAGATTCCACAGAATTTTATTAACTATACTGAAAATTATGGTGAAGGTAAAAATTTCATTCCAAGAATCAGGAACTGTTATAAAAAAAAAATTCATTTGCCATTCATGTTTTTATTTTATATACTGGGCAGTCAAAAATAATTTTGTCTGTCTAGATATAAATGCTCGAGCGAAATTTCTGACACTTCTAACTGACAGATTCCTTTCAAAGTTGGGTCAAGATAGGAAGACAATGCAATCTGACATTAAATTTGACTTAATGTTAATTAGATGCCTAATTAATTTTTTTATGAATTAGTTAAAATTTTGTCCAAATTAATACGCTGTCTTATCCAACTATTCTGCACTGTTACATACGCGGTATCATGTTCATAAAGTGTGCAATGGTGTTTAGTCATGCAACTTATTTAAATTTTAAAAAAAACTAAAGTAATGAAAAATAAAATTATATTTTCTCATTTTAGCCTAAGTGGAGTTTCAACATTTGGTGGTGTAAATGATGAAACTACATTAGTCAACATTGCACTTAATCGATATGATGCAGGACACTTGTATGAAAATGTGTCCTCAGAAGCCTTGAAATTTGTCTTTAAAGTCTTGAAACGATTACCCAGGTATTTGAAACATTATTTAAATCACCCCACATTTAAATTTTTAATTCTGTAAATTTATTTTAAACATGTCTTTATTTTTAACTTATTTAAATATTTGTTACCAGAAATCGCCCAACCCTTCAGGAGTGTTTAGATCATAAATGGTTGCAGGTGACAAATTTCAAAGAGCAAGAAACTAATGTATTCCTGACCAATACTCTGGCATCATTTGTGCAAAACTATGACAAAAATAGGCAAGATGATAAATTTCAACAGAACTTTGATGACTTAAAACTTCCTATTGAAATGAATTTTAAAAATTTTGATTAAGTCATACAAGTCTTTGTTAATCCATGTTATAATACTAATTGCTTATAATTTTAAATCTACAAAGAGGAGTTTTTTTTTCTTGTAAAAATAATAAAAGAAATTCTGGTAAAACTAGATAGAAAAATTACTGCGAAAAGTTAGTAGTTATTTTTGTAAAGCCTACAAATGTACAAATATACCCACAAATTAGTGCTTTAGCTTTAATATGGATTGTGATATTTATCTATCTTATTATTTTTATTCAATACTATTTTTATAACATAGTGCCATACAGGTGTTATAATATAACATGTATATTTAATAGTATTGATTAAACTGTCAAAAAATGTCCTTGTAATGGCAGTTTGAATCATACTAAATTATTTTTAAAGAAATATACTGCAAATTCAAATTTATTTACAATATATAACACTCACTTTGAAACCCCAATACATTATTTTAATTAAAAAGACTGAAAAAGGTTTTATGGTTTACTTTGTATAAGACCAATTGGATTCAAACTTAACAAAAACTGGAAAATTGATTTGCTTTGTTTTAAAAACTGTTTTCCATTAAAAAATCAGATTCTTTCCTACACCCATAATTACCAGATATTGACAATATGTAGCTGAGTGTCCATGTTAATGAATTTTCTTAGAGATTTGTGTTTAGTTTAAATTAGCAAGTTATAATGTTTAACCAAACAACCTATCATTTATGCATCATATATTGAACTATTAATCTCAGTGCAGTTGTCCTTTTTTTTAAAATTCATATTAGTTAAATTTCAAACTTCACTAATCTTGTGATTACTTAGAGAGTGGATTTCCTTCCAGACCATGTTTCCATGAGCTCTGCATATGAAAGAGCAGTGTGGTCAGCTCTTCCCATCTGTCTTTACTTTCCCTAGTGTGAGTCAGGTACTTATAACAGTGCACTCTTATGTCCTATTAAAGTATAGGATCTGAGACATTTGGGTAATTTATCATGTGCTCAACTGCTTGGCCATGATGTAGGCTACCGTGGAAGCAGTTATCCGAAACTGTAAAATGATTGCAAAGAGTTTGTCAATTGTATTAAAAGCTTATAATTGTGCTTAAGTTTAACAAAATGTTCACTAAAACATATTTTTTTTTTAAATTATCCTTTTTAGATTCAAACCAATAAATATTAGTAGGTTCAACTCAACTGCCTTTTACAAACTTTTATTTAACTTGTTTTATCTGTCTGTCTGTCTAGACCGAAATGCTCGAGCAAAATTTTGGGCACTTCTAACTGACAGATTCGTTTCAAAGTTGAGACGTGGATCAAGACATGAAGACAATGCTATCTGACATTACATTTGACTTAATTGGATGCCTAATTAATGTTTTATAACTTAATTAAAATATTTTGCCCAAATTAGTAGGATTTTATACGCACTATTACACGCGCTTTATCATGTTCATTAGGACGAGTCTTGGAGTTCTGTGTAGCAGAAAGAACATTTTTTTTCTCCTAAGAATTGCATCACAGAGCACAGACTGAAGTTACCCATTAGTGGCGTTCCCTGCATGTGATTATATGTTATTAAATGAGTTAATTACCCGTCCATCCTGCTTATTCTTCGACAGGTTCAAATGCAGGTACTGATATCTTTGCGTGCAATAGCACATCTCTCTTTTAGTTAACCGAAAAACTGTTATTCTAATTACAATATAATTTGCATGCTGGACAGATGGCAAAATAACCTGTGATCAACACAAACTGCCTGTGGGCAACCCCTGGCTGTGGTCAAACATCTATAATAGATCTTACCAATTTTTTATTCGATTTACTTTAGAAAGTGAGGCCGCCTTAAATATTCTATAAAAATATACAGATGTTGAAATGAAATATTTGTTTATATGTACACATAGGCAAGTGAAAACTCAAACATGCACGCATAAACATATGCACATTGCCATAATTCTCATTGGTAAGGTCTATGTGTAGTTTTCTGTATGCTCTATTTTTCTATGGGTGTTTTTCTGTGCGCGCACATTTTTCTTTGCGCATTTTTGTTCGGTGTGCGCAATTTTCTCTTTTTACTTTCTCATATATTCGAAGTAGGCCTATAGAGAAAGTCTTGTAAGCGTGCAAAAAAAAAAAAAAAAAAAAAAAAAAAAAATCGAGATTTGCAATTACAGCTACCTGAGTTGCAATCTTGTCCGTATGTCTGTGTGTGTGTGTAAACACGATAACTTGAGTACTGTTACAGCTAGGTTGACCAAATTTCATATATAAGTATTACTTCAAAATCAACTTTTGAGTGATTTCCGATAACTGGAAGTGGAACTTTTTTTACTTTGAATTTTTCAAAAGCCTATAACTTGAGTACTATTTCAGATAGATTAATGAAATTTCACATGCAAGTAAAAGATCTAATTCTCTGCCTTCTATCAAATTTTGATAATAAAGTAATAATAATATTCCGCACATTTTATTTGGCGTTTACTTGGTGTGCAATTCTTTTTTCTACGAGATTTTATTCTATTTTAAAAAGTATAAGAATTTAAAATGGATTAAAAATCATGTCAATATCCCGAGTCGCCATCCCCTGTTGTTTCATATTCGAGAAAGTTTAGGGGAGATCACTCCCGGTTTATTTCAATTTATTGCTTTGTCTTTCTGTGAACTGTATTAAGATACCTAAAGACAGTACCATTATTGTGCTTAGGCACAAACGGTCTGGAGGGCCAGAATCAGAAATGTTTAGGGTCAGATGAGATAGAGTAGTTCAGAGATCAACCAATCGTCCTTTAAAAAATGACATTTACCCCTACGATTGCTGGGGCACCAGTTGTATTGTGTATTATTACTTTGTGGCCCCTGGGGAGCAAAGGATTGCAGCCACACCACTCTATCGGACTCGGGTTTTGAGCTACTCTATTTGCGCCCATGTCAGCCCTTGCCACTTCTTCTATTGTTCTCCAGGATTTTCTAGGCCGGCACTCCTACTCCCACGGAGATTCTAGTGTAAAGCCCTCCTCGCGATATTTCCCTTCACAGGGTATGCTCAATCCATCCCCATTTGTGGGCTTTAATGTCCCTGTCTATTGGCTGTTTTGTGTTTTGCCACAGGTCTATTTGACATTTTGTCTGGCCATCTTATCTTGATCTGTCGTAAGCACCTGCTTTTTAAGGTATGTAGCCTGTCTGTCACAGGCATTCCTGCTTAACATCTGTGTTGAAGATTCTTATCTTGCTCTGGAGTGACAGGGCTGTGCTATTCCATATTGGGCGTGGATATATTGTGTAAATCATATAATTATGAAAACTACGCAGAATTAGAGTTTAAAATTAATTTTTTAATGGTACCAAGCTTATCACTATGTGTCCTTTTATTAGAGAAAATATGAAACAAAAGGCTATATTTCTGCAATGTGCGTGAAAACAGCGTTTTTCCCCGCCATTTGACATACCTATTTATAATTTTTTCAAACGGCTAGTTGCTGTAATTATGAATGGCTCAACATATCACTTATATTTAAGTAGAGGCAAAGGGTGATGGGATCTAGATTTTAAAATTATCATGGTCACCAAGTAGTATTCTCTCACCATGAGGGTGAGGGATACTGAAACATACGAGCTATTCTCAGCCAAATAATTTGAGTAAATATGCTTAACATCATTACACATGATCCAATTCAGCTTCACTGAAAGCAAGAACTAAATTTATTTCTTCACAGTAGGAACTAGTAAAATACTTTCAATTGAAATGAAAACAAATGAACTAGTCCAACTGTACTTGCTCATACCAAAAAACCTCACGATCCAAACCCATAGTTTAGGGAATGATAAAACAAATTTTCCTATCACTGCTACATGGTGATTGAGGACAATAAAACAAAAATGCTACCACAAAAACAAAACAAATGCTAATTCATTTGCTTTATTTTTTAAAAAGTATGACAGTAGGCCTATACTGAAATAAATTTACTTTTTACTCTTCTCAAGTTGTGAACCTTGTGAAACAATAACTTCATCAGTCTCTTGTGAAGAGGTGCCTAGGAGTAACAAATTGACAATTTATGTAAAACAAGTATTTAAAAGTGGTTATTTTACGAATATTAAATTAAATTACTATTTTATAACTTAATCAAATATTATGGTCATGTGTGGCAAATGTAATTTTGTGTCCCAAAATGCAAATATAATTTTCTCTTTAATAAACACTGAATTTTAATAAATGTACAGTGATTATAATAGCTTAATGTTGCTAATAAGTACTTTTTTCATAACAATTAAAAGTGCTTTAAAATAATTTTTTAGTTTCAATCCAAAGCGGTTTTTTAAGATAAAAAAGGGTTTGCATTTGTATTCATTTAAATTAAATTATAAAGATTCTACATGACGGCAGCAAAAAAATTCAAAATTCAAGTTTATTTTATTAATATAAGTTTTCTTTGTATTAGATTTAGGCCTTATTGATCATGTAACCATAAAATTATTTTGTGTCAAAAAATGCAGTTCAAGGGAGTTTTTTTTTCTCAAAAAATTTCAGTAAAAAAAAACCAAAATAACCACGTTAAAATTAGATATTTAAATAAAACCGCTTGCAGAATGTGTTTGCGCTGTATCATGTCATAGGCCTCAAGGTCAGCGTGACCATGAAAAGTGGGTGAGGTAAAAGTAGTATAATGAGAACAGCACATTTCTTGGCACATTTCTGTTTCATACTTCATAATCTTTCAAATCAATTCGCATTTTCTTTTTGTCAATACAAAATAGAAAGAGTAATAGACTAGGTTGGCGCTGAAGAGCTTTCCGCCCCTTTTTTTAAAATGAAAAAGCAGTTCTGTGAAAATGGAAAAGTTACATCTCTGCTAGAGATAACCCAATAGAGGACCATGTTGGTTAAGTTACATATAAGGCGCAGCCTAGTGGTCGTACATAAATGACATCATGCTAATGAGCCGATTTCACCCCAACCCATATTGTCCATAATATCTAGCCAACAACACAACAAGAGGCATCAAAAACTTCGATATACAGTCCCACCCACCAGCGAAGCAATCATAAAGCAGGCGGGAAGATGCGACCATTAGAATATGGGTAGTAAAGCGGAATAATGGATCAGCTACAAGATATAAATTTTTTTCGGCGGAAAAGTTTTCTCAGATTAAAAAATAGGATTTCTGGAAAAAAGCGAACAATTTACATCACTGAGTTTACAAAGACATGGTAGGACATAATGAGCACATAAAAAAACATTGTAGACACCCTGGGTATCATTATAGAGAGGTGGCCACCACGGCAGTGAAAAAAGTAGAACTGATACAAGGCCAACACCTGATGAAAGACAGTGGCAATTTTCTTTAACTATTAAATGTCTTTTTAACATTTTTAACAATTTAAAAATAAAAAACATCTTGATAGATTAAATCACTAGTTGTTTTTTTTAAAAAGGGATACTATCTATGAAAAATATTTTTTTCAGCAATGTTCCTAAAATCAGGGTTCCCACAATTTTTTGACCAGAAAATTCCCTGCTAGTTTTCATATAAATTTTAACCATTAAACATAAACTTGCCAAAATTAAATGTTATTATCCATTTAAAATGGAAAAAAGGACGTTAAAAAAAAGAAAACTAACATTACATAGAGATCCATGCTTGTACATATAGCCCTTATATATATACTTGCTGCATAGCCGTGCTTTGCAAGGTGAATCTTTTTTAAATGTACAAACTTTGGGACAGAACAAAGCCAAACACAAACAAACAATAACTCAAATAAAAAAGCAAACAAAAACGTAAACACAAGCACAAATGCAAACAAAAACATAAACACAATGCAAACACAAAAGAAAACACAAACACGAACCCAAATGAAAACAAAAACGCGAACACATGGGAAAACATAAACCGCAAATGCAAAAGAAAACACAAACAAAAACAAAAAGAAACACAAATGCAAAAGAAAACAGTTTATCAAATTACGCTTTCCTGGACACCCGTGCCCAGAGAGAGCCTTTCCCACATTCTCTAAATAACACACACACAAAAAGTAGTGATTTTAAAGAGATCATAGAAATAATTTTTTTTTAAAACTACAAAACTCTGTACTGACTTATCAAAAAATAATATAAATAATTTTAACATTAATCTATTAGTCCTAACATAATAATTAATGGTAGGAATAAAAAAAAAATTACTTAAGCAATATTTAGCGCAAGCTGAATTTTTTTTCGATTACCTCCCCTGGCATAATTATTCACCATTTTAATTGTTTAGTTTTATTTTACACTGTTATTAATATGAATACATTTTTCTAGGAATATAAATGAAAATATAATTTGACATTGATCAGTTTAATGATTTAGCACTGAGCGTATATTTAATACTTTTTTAGGTTCTTTTGTTGACGTATGCAAAAAGAGTAAAAATTTTGCCGATAATAAAATTTTACTAAGTCATTACATAAATAGACCCTACTCCTTAACTTATAAGACAATGCGATGCAAGTAAAATCATGGCATGCATTATTGTTTACTTTTATGGTTCAGGAATCTATAGTGATGACGTAATGACTGACACTCTACTTGGCGGTTTATATCGTTAAATCCCCCAAAGTACATTTTTCATTTTAAAATACTGAATTTCAACATCTATTATTTTGAAGCTAACTTCAATTCTAATATTGTTAAATAATTAGATGTTACTTGTATTTTTTATTAGTTACAGCAATGACTTAATTCATCTGTATTTAGCACATTTTAGATTATCAAAAAATTCTTAAAAGGAGTTATAGACTATAATTAATAAAGAGGGTTTTAAAAAAACTAAAAAAAAAAAAACCTCAGCATTTAATATAACCAACATTACCTTTATCTGGAATTTTGTTACTAATCTTATGTAACTTAGCAACAAAAAACCCATCCAAATTGTGTGTATGAGGATAAAATCTGCGTGTTAATTTCAAACTGGGGTGAAATCGATGTTGCTGAAAACTGAAAAATTAATAATTTTGCTAATATTTTTTCTTAAGTCAAATTTAAAATCATTTTTGAAATTTAACACATTACAAACTTTATAAACTTACTTGACAAAACCTTCTTTACCAAAGTCAAGCCCACAGGGGACTAGTTTAACATTTCTTTTTTTTAAAGCATAATCTATAACAGACTCATTCTCTTCAACCTGAAAAATATATGTATTGTTAAAACATGAATATTTTAACAATCAATTATTTATACAAAACATGCTAGAAAGAAACTCACAAGTATTGAGCAGGTTGAATATACTATATAACCTCCAGTTTTTGAGTTTGCATTACAGCAATCAATTGCAGACAGTATAAGTTCCTTCTGAAGATGAGCACATCTAAAAATATCCTTCTCATCCTGAAAAAAAATATGGTTTCCAGACATGCATTGTTCAACGAATGTGATTGTTTAAAAATATTTATTAACATTTTAAAACAACTTCTAAATTTCTTTAAGATTTATAATATATTATTAACCATTTCCCGTCCTGGGCAACAAAATCCGAGACGCATTTTTCAACCACAGCACTTTTTTATAAAAATTATTTCTAAAATAACTTTACTAATAACAAAAATTACATTAATCCCAGAAAAAAGTACACAAAACGCTAATACTAATATTACTCCAATAAAAAATTTGTTTTAAATTCTAGAAAAATAATTCAATGATATGTCATCACTGGAGCTGCTTTCTTTTAAAACATAACTGAATTAGTTACATTATATATCAAGCCCGATTAAACAGCTGAGATATTTTAATTAGATATGACTGCACTAATTAAATGGCTGTAATTTCTAAAAATGTAAAAGTAAAATTTTTAATTTTAGAAAAATTGTAGAAACTGAACACTGAGTGATAGAACAACAAGAAAAGAATGTAAATATAACTTGTTATTTCCCGCTTCCACCAGTTTCTTCAAAATCTTGTTGCCAACAAGACTATTCATAAAAAAAATGTACTGTACATAGTTTGGGCAACAGCAGGCAGATAGGACTGTTAAGAGTATAGAGGCAATTCCTAACTCATATTAAAAGCAAATATAATTTACCTTGTTGAGTTTTACTGCTTCATCTTTTGATATCACTCCAGTTCCACTGCAAGGTGCATCTAATAAAACTCTATCAAAACTGTGAAAAACCTGTAGAATGTTTAAATAGGGAATAAAATAACTAATTTAATGTTATAAAAATTACCTGTCACTTAATTTTAGTTCGACAAAGGTTTTGAGTTGCTTTGTCGATAATGAATCAGTATATGAAAAAAAGCAACAAGATGATAAAATGTTGAGAAAATGGATTAGCAGGGAAGAAGGAATCTATATTCATATTCCTGATCTGCTTAAAACAAATCATTTTAACATTATATTACAAAATAGTGAGTTACCTTAGGCATTGCACGTCCATCATAATTGGTAATAATGCTATTGATTATACCCATCCTATGTAAATTAGACACAATAGCCTTGCATCTATCTTTATTAGCATCATTTGCCCACAGCAATCCAGTATTTTTCATTAGAGCACCTGAATAAAGCATTTTTTAAAAATGTATACCCATTTTTACTCATTATATTACATTTCAATACAACTATTGCTTATGTTGTTATAATGTTATTATAATGTAGTAAGTTTAGCTGAAAGGTAGGCCTGAACAATAAAAAAACAGAAAAATTGTAGGCTATTCTGTATATGCTGCTTTTACAACATACCCAGGTATTTAAACTTTTTGCACTACTGAGTTACAGTGTATGGTCAGCCAGCAGTTCAACTGCAAATATCTCTCTAACCTCTCTCAAGGGCATAGGCGGGTGATGAATACTAAATTAGCCAAAATGCTTATTTCTAAAGCAAATGCTCTTATATTTCCTGCCATTGCAATGGTGATGGTGGCCATCTTGGAATTTTTACTATTTTAACACTGAAATAACTTTCTAAATTATTACTAAAATTGATCAAAATTTTGACCAGTTATATTTTATACATCTTTATATATAAAAAGCAATGTATGTCTGTTTGTCTTTTATGCATTACTACACCTTTCACAATCACATCACCATAAAACTTTGGGATGTTGATAAGAACCCTCCTAGGGAGGTTCCTGGGGGGAAAAAAATCAAACTCGCAGGGGTGGCGCCCCTGGAGGGTGCGATTTTTGTCTATATAAGGTGTATAAAAATAAAAGTCGGATGCGGTTCGACACCATTCATCCGATCGCTATGAAACTTTGGGGAGAATTCTCCAGAGAAGGTTTCTATTGTGCCCCAATAAATATGATCCAAGCGCAGGCATCGTTTACATTTAAACAACTCAGTTTTAGAAAATAAGGTCACTCGTGTAAGAATATAGGATTGGTAAAGCATTTATGAAACCCTGCTAATATATTTCGTCAGATTATTTTTGTCTTTAATGCATTGCTACACCTTTCATTTGATCGCTATGAAACTTTGGGAAGTTGTCAAGACTACTTATAGGCAGGTTTCTGCAAAAAAAAAATTCTTTTTTTGCACCAGCGGCGCCCCAGGTTATCCTGTGAGTGCTTTGGCACCTATGTTCGTTTTAAACAGTGCAATAGATTATGAATAAGATGGGGCGTTTAGTCGTTAACTAAACTGAAACAGGCGCGTTCACCGGCGCAAGACAGTGTGCAATTATGGTGAACCAGGCTTTCCCAGCAGAGCTATGGCACCTACGCTTGTTTTTAGCAGTGTGATAGAATATGGATAAGTGGTGTTATAGTCATTCACTAAACTGAATCAGGCACGTCCAATTGCGTCCAGGCATGGTGCAATTCACCCTGGCTATCCTGGGACTTCCTTTAACCCAGTGGCAATGTGCTGGTGCGGACATGCTAGTATGCAATAAAACTGATAGAAAAATGTTTTTGAAATTTGTATGGTTTTCCTTTTACAGTTAAAATGGTGAGATTTTTAAAAGTGATTTTCAAAAAGGGTATGTAAAAACTTGAAAATGTAATCTATCAAAATTGTTACCAACATGTCTGTATAATCCTGTAAGTTTTTTTTAATTTACATAGGCTATCTTTGAATTATTTTGATGTTAAAAAGGTAAATAAAATCCAAGATGGCTGCCATCACCATGAGAGAATGAAAAAATAAGAAGCACTAAAATCTATTTTCCAAGACTATTACTGCAATCCTCGTAGATATACATTTCTTTTAAAATGAAACGTACTGATGTAACTAGATTTTCCACCAGGTGCAGCGCACATATCAAGAACTCTTTCTTTTTCCTGTGGTGCTAAAGCCATTACAGGTAAAAAACTTGCACCTCCTTGTAACATGTAATGGCCTGCTAAGTACTCTGGAGTAGCACCTACAAAATAGAATGTATGATAATTAAAGCAATGTACTAGAATTAATTTTTAACCTTTACAGTCCAGATCATTTTGCTTATGTGGTAGTCTGATGCATTGCATTCGCCCCAACTATATATAATCAATTTCTTTAAGCATAGTAACAGAGTCTCACAGGTAACAAAAGTTTGAAGATACTGACGGAAGCGGGAAATAATTAGTTTTTTTACATTGTTTTCTTGTTCTATCACTTGCTTTAATTTTCTACAAATTACCAGCAATATAATTAGTGAAATAAAAGCTAATTAAAATGCCTCCACCGTTGAATCAGTTTGCTTATTATGTAACTAATACAGTGATATTGAAATAGGAAGTAGTATTAGTGACTAAAATGAATTTTGTTTAAGCACAATAGTAAATAGTTTATTAAAATATTATAAATTGCGTTTTGCATATGTTATTCTGGAATTTAAGTTGTTCTTATTTAAGGGCATGTTAAAATCCCAAATTGAAAATTCTGTGTTAGGACTTTTTTGAGTGATAAGGGCAAAAAAATCACTATAAAGTTATGGTTTTGTGATATGGTTAAGTGAAAATATTTTCTAAGAAGTGTCATTTTTAAGGTAAAATAGCTCAAAATTAGCTCTAATTTCAATCACAATAACAGTTTCTGTTTGTCAGATTAACATAAATCTTTAACATAGTGTAAATACAGATTCAAAAAGGATGCTCTAAAACAATAAAAAAAAGAAAAATAATAAAAAATGGTTTTAGCCAAATTTTTAAATGTAAGACCTAAAAAACTGTAAAAAAAAAAGTAGGGGGCAGACTTAGCTTTTTAATTTTTAAAATGTAAAGTTTCAAAGATATAGAAATTCTTTTAGTTCAACTTTACAAGCAGCGTTTAGTGAACATGTGTGTGAAATTTCAGCAAAATATCTCAAGTAGTTTTTAAGTTATAGTGATTTAACTGGTACGATTTTGTTAAAAAGTAGCATTTTGGGAAAACAATAATTAGTGAAAAATACACTAAATTTGAAAGAAAAAAAATTGAGAAAAAGTGAAAACTATACAAAAAAGTCAATTTTAAAACTTCCCAGTTATATAAATTGCATCTGGAGCCTATTACTCAGTAATAAGAACATCTATTTAAGTTCGTTTTTAATTTTTATGTTGCCAAATGTTACATAACCCTTTGAGCCCGGGCCTCCCTGGCCTAATTTCTCCCATTTCCTGAGCTCCCAGACCCAAACTGATTTTCACTTACTTATTTCTAGCTTTGCCTATAACTTCTGAACCGTTTGGGATAATCAAACCACATTTGATATCAAGGCTCAGTATCAAACAACAATTCAGCAAGATTCGGAAATTCTTTGTTTTTTAACAATATATGAACATAACAATGTATATAAAACGAACACAGCTGATGGCTGTGGCTCAGTTTTTCGTTTTGGCGACATTGCTTCAAAAAAAAAATATTTGTACAACCAATTTGCACTAATAAAATATTTATATACCGATAATTGTTTTATACTACATAGTTAAAATAATGACAAAACTAGAGTAACTTATCTATTTATTGTTATTATAATAATAATTATAACCGAATAATAAAATAATATAAAATACAGGGATGTGACCAGACCAGGAAAAAAATTAGGAATTTTTTTTCGGATAATAACTCAATATGTTTTATCTATTTTTTATCGCGGTTAAGCAGCTTCATACTGTTACTGTACTAATTAATTGTTTAATGAAGTTAATATTTTAAATACAAGAAGTTTATGTTACTCTAAAATAACATTGAAAGTCTTGTCTAATTGCAATTTAATGTTTACCTTAAAAACAACTTTTTAAAAATTACAATGTAACAAAAGTAGCAATTAACTTTTATTTTATCATTAAGCTAATTTAAACTGTACTAATCTAGTGTAGATTCTAGATGTACTCGTGTTTTCAATTTTTAAATAAGGGGACTAATGCCTTATATTCTTTTAAAGATTGGATTGGTAAAAATATTTGTCTTCAACAGTAAAGACCCTAGATTAAGATTAGTTACAATTTGAAAGTTTTAGGTTCATGTGATGGAATAATGAAATGGACCAAGTTAGCTAAAATTAGAAAGGGTCTGACTTGTGAACCAAAGTTAATCATTTTGATAGCCAAGCCACATCAATATTTATGTTTTTTTTTGGAATAGCTGTAAATTGTTAGGGGTCATCCTCGTTTTTTTTTGTTTGACGATATTTACCTTCCCTCTCCCCTACTAAAGCCAGACTCCCCCCACAGTCTGAACGTATTTTTTCTTCCACAAACAAGACACGGTCGTAGTCAGGTTAAGTTTTATCTTTTTAATCTGTAGGCCAGGGGTCTCCAAACTTTTCAGCCCGAGGGCCGCATTAACTATAAAATTTCAGTTTCGGGGGGGGGGGGGGGGGGGGGGGGGGGGGCCAGTTAATTCTAACCGTGTCTTTGTTTTTTCTGGGCAAAGTTCCTCAGCCATCACCAACAAACGTTTTTTCCGTGGACAAAAAGATCGCCGCGGGCCAGATGAGAGGACCTAGCGGGCCGTATCCGTCCCGCTGGCCGTAGTTTGGAGACCCCTGCTGTTGGCCTACGAAACATACGTATTGCAGGAACAGCTATTTGAAATTGACTGTGACGTCATTTTTTTTTTCCACAAGCAGTACCGAACACGTACTTGCGGTCAAGGTGTGGTCACAAGAGCCACCGTTGCTACAAGGTGAGGCGGGTTAGTCTAGTCCTCATAGTCACCTTTTGCAAGGATTTCAATATTAATTTGAGATTGCGAAATAAAAAATAGAATCAGAAACTCTAGATTTAGGCGGGTTAAAATACCAATAGGTAAATTAGGCTATATCGATAGCTAGATTACCAGGCTTAAGAGATGTAAGTTTCATTTGAATAACTGCATTATTTTAGATTACCTTTTTCCCGCGTTTTTGATAAATAGTTAACTGAAAATATCGGCAAATTTGGACTAAAAAAAGTGTGCTTTGAAAAATTCGAAAGTCTGCCGAAATTCCGAATCTACATTTAATCTTGATCTAGCACCGTCAGACCTAGTGCAATCGACCAATCAAAAAGAAGTGCGCATATTCGAGTGTCCGTTTGACCTAAGTACAGTAGTTGTCGATTTAAATACATAGAATACGTTTTTTTTTTTCCTAATTTTTAAAACTTCGTAAAAAAATCGAAAAAATTGAAACTCGGCGGAAAAATTCGGCGAAAATTAAATCAGCGGAGAAAAATCGCAACTGAAATGGAAAAATCGGATTTCTGCTAAAATTCGGAAAAGTCACATCCCTGAAAATAACAGATTTTTTGTGTGTTGACAATGTATTTTACGAAATGCAAACACTTTCACTTTCAACTTTCCCAAAATCTATTTTTAGAATCATAATCCCGCCCGCACTAAAAAGACATGCACCGTTTTGTTCAGTACGCCGCTAATTATATTTAATAAGACGCATTACAAGCCACTAGGACTATGACGCTAGATCATCGGGCCGTAAAACCGGCTTCTCAGACATATATGCTTAATGTTGAAGCCGTTTTTCCGGCCTGTCAGGCTCAAAGGGTTAATATAGGTAAATTACATCATTACTCTAATTATAGAAATTATAAAAATACTAGCAATAACTAACTAGGCAAATCAATTATTATACAAACGTGTTCAGAATTAAATGTAGTTTCAGAAACAATAGATTTTGAAAAATCAATATTTCTGACTTTAGTATCTATTTTGGAAAGGTACCTGCCCTTAAGCTTAGTAAGTTATTAAGCTTACTTCATACATTATAACCATAGAACACTTTTCAGCATAAATAAAAAAATTTTAATTTTTTTTTTAAGAAAGGTTGATATTTTAAATTTTAAAAAATTAGAATGTGACATGGTTGAAAAATGTCTTCTTTTCAATTTCACTTGGCAGTACAATTAGTAAAAAGAGTAAAAAAAAAATTAATTCCAGGACTGTAAAGGGTTAAGAATGTTAAGTAATAAATTTTAGCAGACTGAAGTGAATAACAAACCTAATGGTACTTTTGTATCAAAAACGGTGAGTCCCACATTGCTCCAACGTGCCATAGGTTCAACATTAACACCACGATCAATGAGCATCTAAAAATAGTTTTTTAAAAAGAATTTGTGCGTTCATAAAACATGAAAGTCAAATAATGGCTAAGTCTATGTGGAAAATTTTTTATCAATGGTAAAACTTAAAGCAAAAGTAAAGAGAGAAAAAACTTAATAGGAATTACATTATACAGAAATGGCAATTCTGCAGCAAATTCAGTTAAACCTGGTTATGTCAAAAAAGTAGAGATCTGACTAAAAGTGTGAAGATATCCCATGATAGAGATAGCAAAAATCATGGCTGTAATAGATTATCTATTGTTTGACATTTAAATGAGAATGTACAAGCACATGTTTTAAAGAGGTTTTTAATTACTGCAATTTGTTAGATAATTTTAGTATTGCATATTGGTATCCTGTCTCCAACCTGACCAAAACATTTACCTTGAGGGGTATTTTTTGGCTCATTTAAAATACCTAGATAAAATGATCAGCATGCTTTTAAAAGACAAATGTATCAACAATAGAGATTTACTAGCAAAAAACAATTTTTAATATCTTATTTATAAAATGTAATTAAAAATGCTGATGCTACCGTTAACTCATAAATTCATTGTAGATTAATAATCAAATGTACAAAAGAAACTTATATATATCTATATATATAAAAATAATATTGTGTATGTTAGTTTGCTTGTCTTTTATGCATTACTACGCTGTTCATCTGATTGCCAAGGAAGGCTTGTGAGGGGAACATTTAAATTTTGGAGGGACAGTGCCTTGGCAGGATGAGATTCTGCACCCCAGTGAGCACTATGGCCGCTTTGTTTAACCGAGTACTATAATTGTTCACTAAATGGAATCAGGCGCTGTCCACCGGTGCCCAGGCATCCTCCATGAGCACTATGGTCCCTACATTAATTTTGCGGAGCAGTCTGCAATATGGACACAGTATACAACATGCAATGATTAAACAGAACCGCCCCTACGGTAATGAAAATGGTGCTTCACGAGAGCTCCCCTCAATGCAACTTACATCTGCAGGAGTTTGCAAATTTCTCAAACAATTTATGTTATTTCAATTTCAAGGTTACTTTTCACCACAATAAAAAAACACTGTTAGATCGTGCAACCAAATCATATTAGGCCTACATTATTATTTTGTGTCAAAACCTAAGATGATGTAAATTGTATATTTAAATAATAGCGCTTGCAGAATGTGCTCGATTGGTCTCGTGTTGTAGACCCAAGAATCAGCATGATCATGAGAAACTCGTGAGTGTCCGTAAAGTTTGGTAAAACTAGCAGCACATTTCTGTTTCAAATTTATACTAGACCTTCAAATTACTTTGCCTTTTCTTTTTGGCAATACAAAATAGAAAGAAAAAATAAGAATTACACCTTTGATATTTTTTATTTGGAAACAGATGATGGGTAGAAATATATTTTTAGCGCAATTTCCATACTGGCAATTGCGTTTAATAATGCGTCATTTCTGGATGGATGGATGGATGTGTGTCCGCAGCGTGTCAGCAGCTTTAAGTCGTATCTCCTCCTCAACGAAGCAATATCAAGGACTAGTTCCAAAAGCAAATATGTTAAGCAAGTTCCTAGGATGAACATAGGCCAAAAAAATTCCCGTAATTCCTTCCTGGATTTCCCGGAAAAGCCAAAAAACCTCGAAAAAATGCAGTTTTTGGCCCATATCTCGGCAACTAGACCACTTAGCGACTTGAAACATTTACCAATCGATTCCTGCCATAATTTAGAACAATATTGCAGAAGAAAGTTTTGAAAAATATCCTTTCGTTCGGTCACAAAAAATTAATTTCTTCTAATTTGTATTGGCTAAGATTACTAAGAATATACAAATATTTCTACCACCCTCATCCCTTCGCGTCTCACCACTAGAAGAAGCGAAGCGGTGAAGTTCCAAACCAAGCACACCGGCTGAGGCAGTCGCTAGTGAGAGGTAACGTCTACTTGTTTTTAAACTGAGCATCGTGTAGGCCTACTCGTTAAAATAAAACTATTTCCGTTGATATAGGTTAATATAGTTGTCTTTTTTTTTAGCGCAAAAAAATATCCTTTCGTTCGGTCACAAAAAATTAAAACACAAAAAAATTAAAAATTGTTATGGATAACATAAGGAAATTGCGCTTAAATTGTCACTAGACTTTTTATTAACTTGTTTTTCCTAAAACTGAGAAAAAAAAATAGCTCCGTAAAAAAAAAAATTATGACATCTCTGCTATGTTAAAAAGCCATGCCAATATAGTGAAGTAGCCTATATTGCACAGCCAATTGGCCGTCTACAGATATATGAAACGTTAATTGCTGAAAATTACCCACCAACCCATATAGTCATTAATAGTCAAAATAACACAAATGTCATAAAAAAGTTCGGTCTACAGCCACCCGACCCCCTCTCTATAAAAAAACATTTTTTTAATCCAATGTCTGACTAGCTTTGTGAAAAATCTATAGGTGGTGCGTAATCACAGTAACACATCCACAGCAAGTTTACACATAGACCAAAAGTCGCCTTTCCCCCTCCCCTGAATGACATAGATCTGGTAACTAAGTCAACATCCTCAACCAGTGTAGAACCCTGTAATCCTGTTTGGTTTGGGGGGTGGGGGGGGGGGGGGGGGGGGGGGATGGAGTAAAAATCATTAGAGGACTCCCTTTGTTAGTAGGAAACTACGGATATCATTGAAAAGTTTCATCTCTAAAATTAAGTAAGACTTTTATAACCTGACACATGCTCGTCTTGTAAAATAAGACCAAATAAAATGGCATCTTTATTTCTGACAAAACGGGGGGAAAAATGATAAGGCGGGAAGGATTCCAATTTTTTTTTAAATGTCGGTCTGCGGAAAAATGTCACTTTTTTTAGGAGAAAATTAGTAAATTATTTTTCTCCGGAAAAATTTTCTGAATTGGAAAAAGCAGAAAAGTTACATCTCAGCACTTGGTCACTTGCCAAGTTGTGTTCTATCTCTCTATTACAGTGTTCTATCTCTCTATTACAGTGGTGATTAACACAGCGCCAAACGACTATTTATCCAAGAAGTATAGTGCCTGCATTGCTTTACATTTTTAGAAAGGTCACGCATTTAAAAATACTTACTGGACCTAGATCACGTCTTCGAGTTTTTAATGTATTGGTTCTAATAGTCACTGGTCTGGGGTATTCATTAGCTTCCAAAAAATCCATTATCTGTAAAACAAATAAAACTATTATTGGTCAAATAAAATTTCAGATTTGAACATAAATATTCACTGACCACATTAAAATTTTGCTGCTACAATTTACCTCAACTGGAAACAAATCCAACAATTTTGTCATCAAAAATTCATTATAGCTGAATCGAGCACACAAATCTTTAATTAACTGTTGGCTGTATTCCTGTCTTGATCTAGAAAGAAATAATTTATTATAAGCAGTCTTACTTTTACACTCACACACCCTCCTGAAAAAGAACTGAAATAATTACCTTCCCTGTTCCCTACGCTCTTTGAAGTCAGAGAGGACATAACGTATGTGGGCAATTCTGTTATCTAGAATAGCAAAGTCTGGGGGAAGCATTGCTTTATCAAGTAAAAGAAAAATATTTATGGTTTGCAAATTATGGTGACATTTAATACAACAAACCTAGCAGATATTTAAAACTAAAATGTAGAACACTACTTTAAAAGGATACTTTCTTTCTCAATTTCTTGACCACTTGGTAATGTAAATTTTTCTTGAGATTGTACATTTAGCATCAGCTCAGCCTTGGCCAAATCACTAGAATGAACACATTAGCAATATTTAATCATCTTTCTATCCTGTGTCATATAAAGTTCAGAAAATATTAGATCTCATCAGCTTAATAAGAAAATGTAATACTATGAAGTAAATGTGAAAGAAACTTACCTATTAACTTGCTCCTCCGCCAACAGCTTTTTCGAATCTTTTTCAATCTCCATGTCCTGAAATAAAGTATGCCAATGACATACATTTAAAAGGCCATTACCTAAAATATTGTAAAATAAAACATGCTTTTTAACTCATATTTTGCTGGTGTCCTTATGTAAGAACATAAGGTAAGCACATGTGCTATTAGTTGACTTTTAATGTATTTTAATCCATGTCAACAATTTGATAGAAGGATTCTGGTCAACTTGTTGGCCTCCATTGCAATGTTTACAAATTTTGATACCCGCCTTGTAATTTTCTTTTTTTAAGTACGATCTATACATATAGACCCATACATTACTTGTAAGCTTAAATGATAAATAAGAACATAAACTATAAATATATGCAAGCAAAATATGAGAAAATGAAATACAAAACAGTATTTTCACCAACACAAATAGTTTTAATGCCTTGAATAAAAAATTCACATAAATTCACCAAAACAAACACAATTTTAAAAAAAGTCATCAAAAATTTCAGAATGATCTGAAACCTGTCCAGATTGAAAACAATGGTGTTTCTTAACTATGATGGAATCCCAATAGGGATTCTAATTGGACATTTAAGTTAAGCCCATTTTCAGGACCACAGCAAGAAAGGCCCTAAATTCAGCAAGAGTAAGTGGAGCTCATTTGTGGGCTCGTGATCGGGGAAGGCTCAATTCTGTTCTTGAGATTTGGAAATGAGCTGCTGTACATTTTTTATTTTTTAAAAATTAAGCATACACAGTACAAACACTACACCATGTTTGAAATCGGGATTGGTGAAAGTAATATTTACTGTTACTTGTCTAATTGTAGAGCATTTTCGAAAAATATGGCTGTAAATACAGAAAACCTTACTCTGTACAAGATGTTACAGCTCGGCCATGATCCTGCTATGAGTGCTTTAATGGTTAACGTTATTTTTACTATATTATTAGGATAATAAAATCAAAATAGTAATACAACAGAAAAACAAATGTATTAATTTATGCCATTTTAATCATGCTTGATTCCTTTTGTAAGAAAACAGCACATGAATTCTGCATTGGAAGCTAAGCTCAGCATCCTAATTTACTCCAGTAAAGCCTGCCAAATGATGCTTTCATAAATACTTATCAAATTGTACTGCCAGTATTACAAACCTCTTGCTCACTGTTTTCTGATTCACTTGAGGCTGAGTCATTCTGTTCATCTTCACTACCAAACAACAACTGAAGCAAAGACAAAAAGCAATTCAGAATAAAGATTAGTTTAAAATGTATTTATTATTTTAAGAACATAATTAGCTTATAATTATTAAAATATGTAAAAAAAAAAAAAAAACCTTTGGTTGTTTTTTTGGTTTGCCACTCTTGTCTTCTTGCCCTGCTTGAAAAAATTAATGGAAGTTTTAAACTATCATACAAACTACACAAAATCTTAAGTCAAAAACATTAAAGAATATCCAGACATGCCAGTCCTGGCAACCAAAAGTAGGAACAGCCATACTTAAATTGAGTAATCTAAAGACAAAAAGTAGTAGTTTGTATGAAAGAGAGTTGAATAATATTAATAATTCATGATTTTAATTTTTAAAAATTTATCATACTGCCTACTTTATGATTAATAATCCCGAAAAGAATGTCTACTTTAGTATTTTATAAATGAAAGTCAAATATTGTAATAATTTTTTGAGCTCCAGTTACCTCAGCAACTCACATTTTCATTGGGTTTTTTTTATATTTTTAATTTTACATTGTTTCATTTGGTGGAAAAAACTTTGACAAAATCAACTATCACAATAATTTTGTTATACGATGGAGCAATTCTGCCAATGTGGGACAGTAGGCTTGTCTGCAATTGAAAATAAACATTTTACCTTTACGTTTCACACCAGACCCAGGTGCTGCATGCTTTAGCTGCCTCTTCTTAAGCCTAAAAATTAAATAAAATTAAAAACAACTTGTCATGAAAAATCCCAGCCCAATAGTGTACTAATCACAATAATGATAAAGGTAATTTGTATAAAGATCTACATTTAAAAAATGTTTATTGCACAGGCTATACTATGAATGTGTGTATACGGTTTAATGGAAGTCAAAATTTTGCTCAACAGTAGAAAAAATAAACAGGGAGTGATCTCCCCTAAACTTTCTCGAATATTCTTATCTATATATATAATTCTCTTCTGGGATCAGTTAGAAAACAAGCTGCAAGCGCCTCCTTGCAGTCCCCTCTCTTTCTCTCTATCACTATCACCCCCCACCCCACCCCAACATTGTCTGGTGAGCGGTGTTCACTCTAAATTTTTACAAAGCTAAATGTTTACAAACCGAAGAGCCGTACAGCCGGGTTTCTATTAGGGGCAGATAATTTAGTTCGATTTTAAACTTACAGGAGGTAACTAAGAAATAACTAAGAGGAGGCTGCTTTCACGGGGGGGGGGGGTTAGTGTTTTAAAGCAAATATTTTCAGTGGCAGCATTGGTACTGGCGAATTTACAAATTATGAATTACTGAAAAGTAGAAAATAAAACAACTAAATAGCGGCGTATGATACGCTGCGGGTCGGCTTGTATGAAATAACAGGTGATGGGAACTCGGGCTATAGACATGATTTTTAATCCATTTTAAATACTTAAAGTTTTAAAAATAGAATAAAATCTCGTAGACAAAAGAATTGCACACCAAGTGAACGCCAATTAAAAAAGTGCATAATAGTGCATAATATTATTAGTACTTTAAAAATTTACATGCGTTTTTATAGAAATCGGAAGTACCGTAAATTACTACTTCCGGTCAACGGAAATTACTCAAAATTTAACAGAAGGTAGAGAATTAGATCTTTTACTTACATGTGAAATTTCATTTATCTATCTGAAATAGTACTCAAGTTATAGGCTTTTGAAAAATTCAAAGTAGGAAAAGTACCACTTCCGGTTATCGGAAATCGCTCAAAAGTTGATACGGATCTACGATTTTGATAAAATACTTATATATGAAATTTCATCAACCTAGCTGTAACGGTACTCAAGTTATCGTGTTTACACACGGACAGACAGACAGACAGACACACGGACAAGATTGCAAAATTATGTTTTTCCGTATCAGTGAGGTGTAAAACGTCAAGATTTGTAAAAATCTCGATTTTTTTTTTTTGCACGATTACAAGACTTTCTCTATACTTCGTATATACGAGAAAGTAATAAACAACATGCTTTTAATGGTGAATAGCAATCTTTAGTTATCCTCTAGAAGTTTTTAACTGAAGTTTGACTTTAAACTGATTTTATATATTGCAAAGATTAGGGGGGTCTGTTGTTTCAAGTGTCGGGATGGCAGAATGGAATGTATAGCAGCAAGCAAGTTTTCAGAAAGGATTACATTTTTTTTTTATAAGTTAATAGTGCAAATGACATTAAAATATAAACTTTTAAGGCATTGTTATTGTATTTTCTAATTAGGGTTAGTCAAAGAAAACAGTAATGATATTTATTAAAGCAAACATTAAGAATTTTAACTTTTAATGAAATACCGGTAAGGATCTTCGCTAAATATACCAAAGAGTATATAAAGCACATTGGCGGAAATAAGTTGCTGTTTTCAAAAATGTGCTCCAGTGGACCACAATAAGAACTAACATAATAATTAATTAATGATTATATGAGTAGTTTAAGCAAACAAGATTTACCTATCCTTCTGTCTATGACTGAGATTCTTTTTTCTATCAGCACCTAGAAAAAAATAAAATAAAGTATATATGGCCTATTCTTACAAAACCACTTATTTTTTTTTTAGAAAAACAGATCTGAAAAGTTTTTAGAATAGGCTTTTTGACCAGCTCACTTAATCCACAGAAATTCTATGATTTTAGACATTTTCTAAAACAATGTTTTTAAACATTTCAAGGATGTTTAATAACAATAAAAGTTGAAAAACAGAAATATAAGACCCTGATAGTTCGTGTAACAAAATTGTAGGCCTACATCATTTTCTTTGAAAACCTAAAACTGTGTAATCTATTTTTTAATCAAGTAATTAAAAATAACAATGTTAAAATGAGATGTCTAAAGTAATAGCTATTGTAGAACTGCCTAGACAATGTGCACACATGGTCATTGTGTTATAGGCCTTGCTGTCAGCGTGTCAATGAAAATCTGGTTAGCGGTGGATTGCTTAATGGAGACAAATCTATCTAATAACTGCCATTCCCCCCCCCCCCCCCCACAAGAAGAGAATTCAACAGAATTGTAAACCAGGGTTCCTGCACCCAAAGTGAACTTGAAATTCCAGTAGCTTTTCAGGAGAACCCAAAATTTCAGGACATAATTTAACATCTTAAAAAGCAACAACGACTCAACCCCTCGCTGCAAATAGTAACAGATCTTTATAAAATGCTCTGTAGCATAGCATTTGTAATTTTAAAAAGCAGGGTTTATGCACCAAAATCAAATTCCATTAGTTTTAAATTAATTCCAGAACATTTTTAAAATTAAGAAAACTGCATTGTATGGCCTTATTTACATAAGTTGATTATAGCGCAGATGTAATTTTAATATAATCTGTTCTTTTTTTCTGCCTCAGACTCAATGTTTTATGCAATTAAAGCAGTCTTACATTATTATTGTACTCATTGTTTAATATAGCTAATATCTTCAATAAAACAAGAGTTAGTTGCCCTAAAATAACAATGAAAGTCCTTTCTAATTACAATTTAATGTTTCCCTTATAAACAATTACTTTTAGCTTTTTACAATTTAACAAAAGTGAAAGTGTTTTTTTTTTCTTTCAACACTTAACTAATTTAAGGCAGGAAACAAATTTGTACAGCAAAATGCATATTTGATCTTTGGCGTTGATAATCTTCTTAAACCTACATTGTTGGGTGATTTTGTTGATACTGATCAAAAGAACAATATCTTTGGAAGCATCGAGGGCAGTATTTTTGCCAATTTCGAATATACATTTTTGTCAAGGGAAACTACTCTAATTTTTGTTTGGAAAGATGGATGCTGTTTTTATTTACTAATATTTATTTCAAATACCTTGCTTTAAGTTAGTTTCATGATATTTTCAATTTATTTGGTCATTGATTGCTACTGTAAATCAATTAGCCTACCTGTTATATTTTGAAAAATTTTACAAAGGCCTATATATACATTTAAAAAAATATATTCATCAGTTACTTCTCCCTAACATTACTACTGCGAATCGATTACGCTAAAATGATAGATTACCTTAAAAATAATATGGATATCTATTATTAAGTTAAAAAAATGAGTAAATTTTTAATAATGCGAGAACATCTATTATCAGTAATCTATCGTTTTAGGTATGTAAAATCGACCGAGGCAAGTAATGTGAAAAAAGGTGACTCATAAAATTTTAGTAATTATTTCACATTTTTAGAAGGATTTATGTTTTAAAAGTTACAAGATAAAGCCTAGCGATGTTTTCATCTGTTGCAACCAAGCTCATTTACTTTAACAGCCATCTTGTTTATGTTTTTTCTTGTGTAGAATTATAGTTAGAGATTCAGGGGAAACCACTCTGACAGATGGCCGCTGTTTAAATAGCAAATCTTGCTCGCAAACACTGCTGTTTAAGTTAATTTCTGGCCTATAGGCCTATTGATATATTTAGCCATTGATGTTGGTTTATTATTCAGTTATGTATAGGCCTACTGTTTGACACAAATATATCACAATAATGATAATGATTGTTCTATGAAAGCCTTAACAATGAGTCAACTTTTTCGCACATCACTAGCCTCAGCCATATTTAACACACCTAAAACTATAGATTACCCTATTATCTAGTATCTAGCTGTAGTTATAGTAGCTATAGTTTTTAGTTAGGCTTACCTCTAATCATCTTATTTCTGATTTCAGATAACTTAGGGCCTATACTATATTTAGGCATTTTGATGAAAATTTCAAAATGATTTTTTAATAAAAAAATTTATCAATAATAGCTAGCACACTAGTAAACTAAGTCAATTTAGCATATTTTAACTTTCTGTGCAAAGTCATTATTACTGAAAAAAACTCCAAAGTCAGGTCAGCCTGTGGCACCCTCCACTGAACTTGACTGAAGGAAAAAATATTTGACCAGTGACCTTCATTAAAACAGAATTTACTTTTGTTTACCCAATAAGTAATAAAATTTGGAAAATTAATTTTAATTATTGTTCTAAACTGAGATAAACAGCTTAATAAACATGTGTTTTCTTGAGATGTGTGAAACGAGTGTGGCACATCGCAATTGGAACTTTATAAATTATATTTCTGTGTTTTATGACTATATTTGTTCACAATCAGCATGGTATGCTTTTAAAATTGATAAAGGGTAAGTATACCAAGTTACAAAACCTGCAATCTATCTAATAATTCTTACTTTCAGTTTAAAAAATAATAAAAACGATCATCATTGAAGAAAGCGTATACATTCTATTTTTAGGTGTGACATAAAAAACAGTCATAAATCTAGCCAAATGATTGGATTCTTGCGCTGCACACATTTTCACGCGCCTCGTTTCCACCAAAGATTATAATAAAATGGCATTATTGAGGGGTGATCATTTGGACGGACCACATCTTATACAGACCATAGATTATTACCAGTTAATTGTAATGTGTGTAATATTGATACTTTCAAGTTTTATCTACACATAGTCTGGTTTATTATACGCGCTGTATTTTAGAGAGTTGATTGGAAAGATAAGAATGATATAGAGCTACTTTCACTAAGGCGCTGCTTGCGAGACAAAGAAATTAGGTCAAAAGTAGATCTGACAATTCTTACATAACAGACTTAAATAGAAACAGGTAGTTCCGATTTCTAAAATTAACGATGGCTTTGTAATCATTAGTTTTATCCCTCTACCGAATAGTGAAAGAGAAACAGGTTGCCATTGGTAAGCGTATGAGCCGTGAGATGGCTTCAAAACAACAAACCCGGAAGCTGTGAACGAAGGCCTACTATACTGAATATTGTGAATATTGTCAGATAACAATAACACTACACTGTAGTGTTATTGTCTACAGTTGTACATATCAAGCCATCTCTTAATTGTAAATTCCAACAAATCGTACCTGACTTTAAGTCTGAAAAGGTTGGTGGTTTCTGCTTCTTTGCTTTCCTTCCAGGTCCACTTTTGGGCTTTGACTCCAAAGCATCTCGTTTACGCCCCATAGTTTGATCAGATATCTAGATCTAGAATAGTTACAAATAGATCTAAGAATTTCTAAGAAGTAGGCCTACTAGATCTAGTTTTTATCTAGATTTAGATTCTAGATGTAGAATCTAAGTAGATCTAGATACTACTAATAACTACTAGATAGAAATGTAGAGAATCTACTAAATCTAGCTCGATTCTAGATCTAGTAGTACTAAGCCTAACTAATAAAATATTATTGGCTAGTGAAGTAATAAATAACTAAGTCAAGTAGATCTAGCTAGATCTAGAATAGCCTATAGATCTAGATCTACTACTACTTACTTACCTAACCTAAATCTAAATTTACTAAACAAAGTCCTAGGCCTAATGGACACCAGCGAGAAAAGTCTCAATATTTGAGAGGTCCATAAATTAATTTTAAAATCTTGCACGGCGTAGTTACAATTAATATGGTTATAAAATCCTGTCTAGTGTCTGTCTGGTTTTTTTCGGACTTTACTAAAGATTGGATGTATTTGATGTTTTTAATATTTTCGTTAGGCCTAACTAAATAAAATTTAAAAAAAAAAAAAGCAAAAACAATTTGGTTTTCACATGTAATGGCGACATAACAATGGCATCCTGCTATTTGATAGGCCGCCATAAATTTTATTGTACACATTGTAAGCTAAAAATAGAAAAACTAGGTCATGGTGTTTAAATTTGCATTGTTAGGCCTATTAAATTAATTTAATATCTAAAAACTTGATCTGCAAAGTTTTGTAAACAAAATAACTATAAAGTGGGGCTGTCAGAAATCGATCATGGAGTTCCTTTACAACCAATCAATGTTTGTCTTACGAAAGTGAAACATCGGGTTATGTTATAACTTATTAAACTTAGTTTTAACTTAGGCTTGATGAATTAAAATTAGAAATGTAGCCTGGCTTAAATTAAACTCAACAAATTATTTTCAAGTTCTCTGGATCTGCAACTTGTAGATCTAGATCTAGATTATAGACTAGCATTGATTCTATAAATATTAAATTTCTGTATTAATTTTAGGCTTAAGTTTTTAATAAAATTTTAGGCCTATCTTTTATTATTTTTATGGTCTAAAATCTAAAAAAGCACATTTTTATTCCATGTCAACAACATTTGACATTACGGGAAGGATTTTTGGTAATCTATCGTTTTGGGTACGTAAAATCGCCCGCGGCTATTTATGTACGAAAACGTTACCTCATTGTCAAGGCTTTAATAGAAGTATATTGTCATACTTTTGTGTCAAATATTATAGATAAATGAATAATAAACCTAAATCAATGGCTAAATATATCGATATAGGCCAGAAATTAACTTTAAACAGCAGTGTCTGAGAGCAAGATTTGCTATATAAACAGCAGCCATTTGTAAAATAGAGTGGCTTCCCCCTGAATCTGGCGCTAAAAGCTTATAAAAATAAAACTTAGACAAGATGGCTGCTATAGTAGATGAGCATGGTTGCATCTGTTGGAAACATCGCTAGTCTTCATTTATTACGGAATAGTTTTAATTCAATTGTTTAAAAACAGGTACATAAATGAATCAAGGAAACATTTTTGAATTTTTTAAAACATAAATCCTCCTCAAAATGTGAAATAATTATTAAAACTTAAGGAGTCACCTGTTTTTCACATTACAAATCGCGGGCGATTTTACGTACCCAAAACGATAGATTACCGGATTTTTCGTCAACTCACTGAATGATGTCCATATTGTAAATTATTACAAATAATTATAGATAGACCCTATAGATGATGCAATTTATAATTAATTATAGAGTGCCTTGTCAAAAGATAAAATAATTGATATAGATCTAGATCTAGAATTCTGTGTTAAATCTCTGGATCTACAAGATCTAATCTAATAAACACTTGCCTGGTTTCTGGATGTAAATCTAGATCTAGAACATGTGCAATACAGTGGCCAGATAAAAGTTGTTGACAACAAGCTAATCATGAAATCTCTGTTCACAGTTCAGAGGCTTATTTATTGTTGTGTTTCAATTTACAAAAAAAATACTTTGAGAATGTTTTGGCATTTTATATTTCCCCAAGAAACTAGGCTATTTGTGAAGCTCATACTGTGACATATTGAAAGTAGACTAAGTAGTACTCTGAAGAAATAAGGGGTCATCCATAGACGTCACCCTTTTTTGACGATTTTTACCTCTCCCCCCCCCTCGCCTCTATCACACGTCACAAACAGCCAGACCCCCCCTAAAATGACGTCACACCTCAGCCTACAACCCCCCCCCCCCCTCAAAATTGCAGTTGAATTTTTTTAAACATCGATATTTTTCTAAAATCGTGTCTGAACTCGGTCAAAATAGAGTACTTTAATCAATTCCTATTACAATTTATTAAAATTAAAACAGCTTTCTAAAACGCGAAATACCGTCTAAAATTCGTTTTCTACCACTAACATTGCTTTTTTATAATGCAAAAGTGTGACGTCGCACCATCTGACCTCCCCCCCCCCCCTTATCACACACCGTCACAAAATTACGGACCCCCCCCCCCCCCCCCCCCCCCCTCCGCCCTACGAGTGTGACGTCTTTTATGGACGACCCCTAAGAAAAAAAACACACAATGTAGGCCGACAAAACAAAACAATTTATCACTCTAAACAACAAAAAACACAAAATATGGGCACAATACAACCAAAAACAATGAACGCAACACAAGTAATCCTTGTAAAAAAAAAACAATTTGACAGTGATTTCTAGAATATTAATTAAGACAAGCGAAATAGGGGAAATAATTACTCTCTTAAAATAAATATTATATTTCTACAAATTTAATTGTAAATGTCAAAACAGATCAATAATTATTTGATAAGTAGTTTGACACTATTCGTTTTTACAAAAATATTTTGTCTACAATCCGAACTAATATATTGTCATCATAAATGCTAAAATATTACAGCATAATGAAAGTTTTTGAAATCAGAGTTGGTATAAAATCAAACTTTTGAAACAACAAGTTTAACTAAATTTAAAGGCTCTAAATGTGGAACATTCTGAATATCTTTTCATTTTATCCTATCCCCGGCTATTAATTTTGCCGTCTCCCAAGACGTCCCTGTTGGCTTCAGTTCTTCGAGAAGACTCCGCCTCCATCTTGGGCGCCCTCTCTTCCGCTTTCCCTAGGGGTTCCACTCATAAGTGCTTGGCGTGTCACAATAGGGTGAGCCTTTCGCAGCGGGTGTCCCACCTAGCGCCATTTCCTCCTTCTTATTTGTACTGTCATAGGCAGCGTTTCTTCCAGACTTTTTTCTCCGGGGGGGGGGGGGCACTTGAAATTTTCGGGGGGGGGGGGGGGGCGGTAGACTTTCTTCGGGGGGGGGGGCGGACATTGTTAAAAGTATATATTTGCTATATAAATTATATAAATTTCATTTCGTTCGGGGGGGGGGGGGGGCGGTAGAATTCCCCTCTCCACCCCCCCCCCCCGAAAAGATGCCTGGAAGAAACTCTGGTCATAGGCTCCTGCCTTGTTTTTCTCCACAATTCTATGTTTGGCACTTTGTCCTGCCACGTCAATTTTCAAAATCCGACTAAGGTATCTGTTCATGAAGGTCTGTATCTTTGCTGTGCTACCTTTGGAGACTCTCCATGTCTATGCTCCAAATAGCAAAACTGCCTTGACATTTCAGTTAAGTATTCTAATCTTGGTTTGGTTGGAGATGGCAGAATTTTTCCATATGGGTCACAGAACCGTGAAAGCGCAGCGGGCTCTATTAATTCTGCCACGTATATCCTCCTCTGTGCCTCTCGATTTGCTGATCTTGCTACCAAGGTAGACAAACTCTTCCTCATTATTTACATGTCTTCCGTCTTTTGTCACTGGGGCCTCTTGGTTATTGTTGATTCTCATTACTTTTGTCTTTTCTATACTCTGTATACGAGAAAGTAAAAATTGTAACGCGAGGATATCCTGTACAGTTTCGTCACTTTGCGAATGATTCAATTAGCATATATTTTTACTTTCTCGTATATACGAAGTATAGAGAAAGTCTTGTAATGTGCAAAAAATAAATTAAGATTTTTGGAATGGACATCTCGACGTTTTACACCTCACTGATACGGAAAAACATAATTTTCCAATCTTGTCCGTAAGTCTGTGTGTATGTGTGTGTGTGTGTGTGTCTGTGTGTGTCTGTGTGTCTGTAAACACGATAACTTGAGTACAGTTACAGCTAGGTTGATGAAATTTCATATATAAGTATTTTATCAAAATCGTAGATCGGTATAAACTTTTGAGCGATTTCCGATAACCGGAAGTGGTACTTTTTTAACTTTGAATTTTTCAAAAGTCTATAACTTGAGTACTTTTTCAGATAGATAAATGAAATTTCACATACTAATAATATCCCGCACTATTATGCACATTTTGTTTGACGTTCACTTGGTGTGCAATTCATTTTTCAACGAGATTCCATTCTATCTTAAAAAGTTTAAACAATTAAAAATGGGTTTAAAATATTGTCTACATCCCGAGTGGCCATCCCATGTAGTGTTATATAAGAATATTCGAAAAAGTTTAGGGGAGATCACTCCCTGTTTATTAGATTATCCAATCAGAAATTGAGATCGAGCATCTAATAATACACCATTAGTAACGCTAACAAATTGCATCAGTCACACTGATGTGTTATAACAAGTCAATTTTTTTTTCTACTTGTAAAAGAAAAAATCCTGTTGATTTGTGTCACTTTAGCGAATGACGCACTAGGCATCATTGTTTTGGGAAGCTATTAGGCGCTCTGGGTTATCCTGTGAGCACTATGGCACCTATGTTAGTTTTAAGGAGCCATGGGGCCGTACGCGGCGTCTCTGCGGTAGTGTAACCGGGGCCCTACGTCCCTGACACATGGGCGGTCACCGAAGTGTGTTCTACCTCATTATTTCGGTGCGTGATAACGAACACTCAAGGTTTTCATGCGGTAGTGTAAGTAAACTTGAGTCCCGATATTTATGATCCAAGCGCAGGCATGGTTTCATTTAAATAACTCAGTTTTAGAAAACAAGGTCACGCTTCTAAGAATATAGAATTGATAACGTATTGATGAAACTCTTCTTATATATTTTGTCAGACTTTCTTCTATCCCCGCTGTAACGCGCGGGGACGGGTACGCTAGAATATACGCTATATATATATATATATATATATATATATATATATATATATATATATATATATATATATATATATATATATATATATATATATATATATATAAGTTGCGCCCGCACCATTTGAATATGGTATAAGTTAGTATGGCAAATTACTTGAAGCATTGACTACAATCTTTAATTAACCTTACTGGTACAGATAAATATGTGAAGTTTTTTTTTTTTTTTTTGCGTTATCAGTTGGCCTAGCGATTACGACAAGTACTTTTCTGTCCTAAATATTATGAAAAAAATTGTGCAAGGCCTACGTTGTGTAGGCCGAACAGGTTAGTTTATCTTCTAATCATTTATTGAAATGTTATATTTGTTTCCTGATGTTCTAATACCTATAAATTCTTAACATAAAATAAACAATTATTAAACTTGATTCCTTCAGTTGATCAGACAAAATGGAGAAGAGCTCATTAAACAAGAAGCTTCCTGTACTCCCCCCTTGTAAAGTATGTGGTGAACAAGCTTCTGGCTACCATTATGGTGTTAATTCTTGCGGGGCGTGTAAGGTAGGTCTATGTCAATTTTATAGACAAAATGTCTCAACCAACACTTTAATATCATACCAATTACGGGAGTTGGAGTATTACAAATGTACTCAAAACTAGTAGTCTGACAACAGAAAATGTTGATAACTTATATAGCAAATACATACTTTGACAAGTGTCCCCCACCTTCGTGTCCCACCCCCTTCCACCCCACCGTAGTAAAATATCTAAAGGACACATTGTCTTTAATGCAGTGAGAAATTTTTTTTTTAAATGTTTAACTTAAAAATATACGATCCTTCCATACTTTTATTGTTGAATAAGTCCAGACTAACTATAGCAATGATAACAGTGTTAATGATTCACTGTACCCCTGGTATTGATTTAATGTATCCTTAGTACTGATGTACTGTACCCAGAGGCGTATCCAGGTTTTCGTTGTAGGGGGAGCGAAAAGAGCAAAAAAAGGCGCCGAATTTTTAACACGTTCTATATACGCGTATTTTATATATATATATATATATATATATATATATATATATATATATATATATATATATATATATATATATATATATATATATATATATATATATATATATATATATATATATATATATATATATATATATATATTACACATGTATACTGATTCAGAAATAGATTTCAATAAGTAGCAGTGGTATTATGACAATATTTGTTTACAGAAGGGTCCATGGGGGAGGGGGGTTGTAACTGTTTCATATAATTTGTAATCGTAATCATTATCGCCCAAACTGTCATATACTACTACTTCATCGTGATGACGTTGTTGACCGTGTCAAAATTTTCCCACCGCTACGCAGTTTGCCCATAAGTAATTCTAAATAGAGGTGCCACATCAGTTGTATTTGTTTCTGTATTGTAATTTTTTGAAATTAATTACACGATTAAAACTGTATATATAAAGTAATTATGTGTGAAGTTTTATGTATAACATTTTCTAATGCAATTATTCGTAAGCAAATACATTATACAGTTGCCTTAAACTTAACACCCCTCTTGCCGAGTGGTACTACCCGTAAAGGTTTTTTAAACATTGCAATGCATAGTAATGGCTATTTTTAGAATGGCAAACTGAAGCAGCTGTTAATACGTGTTGTAAACGTAGACACTACTAGACTAGTACAATAATGCTTAATTGTTGCATGAAAAGAAATCTTGTGATTTACATAGATGTGCCGACCAAAAATATTTTGTTAACAAAATTCAAACTTTGAGTTTAAAAAGTTTCCAAAAAAAGGCGCCATTTTTTGCTGAAAATGGCCAGAGGGGGAGCGGCCGCTCCCCCTGCTCCCCCCCTGCGTACGCTACTGACTGTACCCCTAGAAACGAATGACTGTATATATAGATATATAGGGCCTATATGTATATATATATATATATATATATATATATATATATATATATATATATATATATATATATATATATATATATATATATATGCCCATGTATGATTGACTATAAATGATTGACTTTTGGCCTATATATATATATATATATATATATATATATATATATATATATATATATATATATATATATGCTCAAAAAAGAAACGCGTACTCTTTGATGTGATTCTAAAAAAATTAACATACACTTACACAGTACCCCAATAACACGATTGGTTAAACGAATGTAATAAGCACCAGAGTCAAATAATTAAACAGAAAACCGTTTATTATTTACTTTTCCTCTCCTGGCGAACAACATCAGATTCTACAATTGGAATTTTTTTTTTTTAAATCGGAATAGTGTGAAGTAAGAGTATATAGCTCTTTATCTCGTCTTTGCAAATAATTGCAAAGCGTAACATTGACGTAAACGGTCAAACAATTAAAATAAATAATAAATTAATAAATAAATTTAAAAAATATATATATATATATATATATATATATATATATATATATATATATATATATATATATATATATATATATATATATATCTATATATATAATTCTCCTCTTCGAGCCGTTAGAAAACAAGCTGCAAACGCTCTCCCTACCTCCCCACCCCTACATGGTTTTAGTGAGCTGTGTTCACTCTAAATGTTTACAAGCAGAGCCAACGATTTTAAACGTAGGGGGGGGGGGGGGGAGGGGGGGGGGAAGGGTTATGGTCCTTAACGAGCTACTTATAGTGTTTTAAAGAAATATTTTCAGTGTCAGCGTTGGTACTGTCGAATTCACAAATTATGAATGATTGAAAATTAGAAACAACTAAATAGCGGCGTATGTTATGCCGCGGGCCGGCTCGTATAATATAAGCGGGCTGTGTCTGTCCTTCCTTCCTTCCTTCCGTCCGTCATCGCTATAGATTTTGGGACTATAAAAGTAAACATTCGCACCATGCTGTGCTTTTCAGTGCACCGCAGTGTCTTATTATAAGTATTAGAGTAGGGTTTGTTTATATAGCGGCATAGAGCTATTTTATAAATGTCACGGTTTTTACTCTTTCGCATAACGTCAAGAAAATATTAAATACACGCAAACTGCTAAAACGTATTAAAAAGATTAATGTCAAATATCATTTTCGTTTAGCCTATCAGAAAAAGTGGATACATTTTAATAACATAATAACAGTAGGGTAGAAAAATCAAATTAATTTAACTCTTTTCTAATTTTGACAAAGGAGGTAATTTAAAAATACATTAAACTCACGCTAATAAAAAATGTGAATGCAAATATACGTTCGTCATAGAAGGAATTAGTGTTGCAATAATATAATTAGCAAAATGTGAATGCAAATTATTCGGATGTGTAAGAGGAAATTATTGTTAGAAAATTATAATTAGCATGGATTGATAAAAGGCAATCTTTTATTTATTTTATTCACTGAATGTAGGCCCTACTGTTTATTACTTATAATTTTTAATCAACTATTCAGCACTATTATAGACGCGTCATCACGTTCATTAGGCGCGCAATGGTTTTAGTTATGAAACTCTATTGTAAATTTTTAAAATTTAAAGTACTGGAAAAAAAATGCGTGAATGGATAAAGTGAAATATTGTAGGTAAAACACGGATATTTTAAATACTGCCTATTATTTATACTGTTTACTAATTATTATTCTATCTTTCGGTTTGAGGACAAGCTAGGGGTTTTTATAGGAGAGGCGTAGCGAGGGGAGGGCATATGTCCCCGGGTGCCAACCTTAGGGGGCGCCAAATTGGGTTGGAAAAAATTTGCGAGGGGGGGGGGGGAATCGAAAGTTTTAGGGCGGGGGGGGGGGGGACAGGGGTGCAAATCGAAAGTTTGAGGGGGGTGCAAATCACCGGGAAAGGGCGCGATTTCGCGCTACGGGCTAGACTGTGAGCAATATGCCTTATGATTGCATTTAAATTGTGTTTATGTTATGAGTGTTGTGTTTGTTTTTTTCGTTTTTTTTTTTTTTTTTTTTTTTGCGTTCGTTTGTGTTGTGTTTAGTTTTGTTCTGTTCCCAAGTTGGTACATTTAATAAAAATTTACCGTGGAGGAGCACGGGATGCAGCTAGATATATATATATATATATATATATATATATATATTATATATTAAAGTGTAACTGAACATGGTACCTAGATCGTTCTCTACATTTACCCTCCCCCCCCCCCCAAAAAAAGCCACAGTTTAAAAGTTGTACAGAATCGCTTACAATATTGAAATTGAACTTAAAGTCCTATAAATAAGCAAAAAACTAAAATTCAACCTAATATTCAACCAAAATATAAGTTACTTAACCCAAAAGCGCAGGGGGGGGGACGCACCTGGTGACATTTAGGGGGTTGACACCAAGGCAAAAAATACCAAAATACATATAGAAAAAAAGATCATTCCAGTTAATAGATTTTTACTTAGAGCTAAATTGTCTTTTTAAGAGCTAAAGAAAGTGACTAATCCTGACCAGTGGGAGGGGGGGGGGGAGGACACCATGACGTAATCCTGGTAATGATAGAGAAAACATTGCTACATCCAACTGTATTAATAACCGACTACAGATGAACATCGTAAAGTATTACATGTGCAGTTGAAAGCTATCACTTGGAAGGGGGAAGGGGGGGGGGGGGTTACATTAACTCAAAAAACTTAAAATACCTCGGGTAAATTTAATTTTAAAAATGTAAAAACATTATGGATAAGAGTAAAACAGCCCACACAAGATACAAAAAGCTAACTTCAAAATAAAGAATAACTATAATTGCTTATTTTAAATCAGAATAATATTTATTTTTGAAACAGGTAAAACTATGTGAATATTGTTTTTGCAATTACCAGTAAAGAGGTGGCAGAGCAATACAGCGATCTAAGGGTTCTAACCCATACCTTATCATTATGTTAAAAAATCTTTAAAGAATACAAAAAGCAGTCGCTAATTAAAAATGTAAACATATGAAATGCAAGACCAATAATTTAGTTAAATTTAATAACAATGTGGGCCATTATTTAGAATGTTCAATCTATTAAATTTAGTTTTCCATATTGTTTAAAAGTGCGCTTTTAAACAGACTGTGCTGTTTTAGCATTCATTATAAAATATATTTAATTCTGATCGTAGACCATATTTTTTTGTAAATTCGAATAGTTATAAGATACTTTATTAAATAGTATAGTAATTATTGATCTGGTTGAATTTGACAATTACAATTAAATAGTTTGGTTGTCATAAATTAATATTCCATTATGTCAAATTGTTTTTTTTTTACAAGGACTACATAGATCTAACAGCTAGTGTTGCGTTTCCTTTATTTTTGGTTGTGTTGTGTGTATATTTTTGTTGTGTTTTGTTTTGTGTGATAAATTTTTGTGTTGTCGGCATACATGGTGTTTCCCCACCCTTAACCCTGCGTAAGCCCTGAAATTGAGGTACATTATTTATCTCAAGGTATGTAAATATATAAAAAGCTTAATTGTTTTTAAAAATTACTTTGATCTATCAAATTTACATTTCAATATCTAACAAACTCAATGTATGAAAACATTAGCCCGAAAACAAAAATTTGACCATTTTCTTCTGGGTTTTTTTCCCCACTTGATACAATTTTTAATATCCCACTGCTAAACATTTTATTTTAAAATTTTAGGGATTTTTTCTAAGAAGTCTTTCTAGAATTGAACCATATTCCTGTGTAACTGGAGGACAGTGCAAGGTTGGACCAGAAATAAAAAGGAGAAAGTCATGTCAGAAATGCCGCTTTGACAAATGCATTAGACTTGGCATGTCAAAAAATGGTAATTATTTTTATATTTAAGTGTCCTAATAATTTTAAAACTTACCAATAGCATACAGGGTTAGATGATTAGTAGTATAACAGTTTTTAATAGGTAATCTCCACTAAATTGTAATTTTTATTTCTTAGTGGAAAAGATTGAAGGAAATTGTAAAATCTTCAACCCCCCCCCCCCCCCCCCATAAAAATTGCTTATTAAAAATCTTTATATTAATAATAGCGCAGCATTTTTTTTTTCAATTTTAGCTATTAAAATAGGTCGCTATACATACTCAAAACGGACTCAAGACACATTAGAGTTGCAACAACTCCAAAACCCTACTTCAAGCACTGTGCAAAGAGAAGGTAGGCGTATTTATGCTCGAAATAATTCATAGCTTATATTATTAAAAAGGCATTCTAGCTAGTCATATATTCTTATTATCAATTTATGTCCATTGCTTCTCCTTGTGCCGAATATGGAGAATATTCTAGCTAAACACTTAAGGAGTTAATGCGGGGGGGGGGGGGGGGTATGGGACCGAAATCATAAATGTTTTTCGTGCACCTTGATAGTAGTTTTGTAAATTAAAATAAACCGGGAGTGATCTCCCCTTAACGTTCTCGAATATTCTTATATAAAACAACAGGGGATGGGAACTCGGGCTATAGACATGATTTTTAATCCATTTTAAATACTTAAAGTTTTAAAAATAGAATAAAATCTCGTAAAAACATGTTGTCTGAGACTTGGCGGGACACTGGGCAGGTGAAGTAGAGTTGAGTAGGTCACCTGTGACGTCAGTATATGAAGGGAATGTGGGCTGTTTTTATGTGACTATAAGTGACACTGCAGTAGCGTAGTGAGGGGGGACGACATATTTCCCCGGGCGCCGACCTTAGGGGGCGCCAAAATGGGTTGGAAAAATAAATTGAAAGGTTGAGGGGGGTGCAAATCGAAAGTTTGAGGGGGGCGCAAATCTAAATCTTGAGGGGGGGGGGGTTGGGTGCACATCAAAAGTTTGAGGGGGGGTTCCCCGGCGCCGTGAAGGGTCGCTATGCCTCTGAGTGACAGACGTGATGTTTTTTTGATGGATGACCCCCGAAACCCACAGTTATCCAACGGATGACGGGTAGTCTAGTTCTTATATAAAACAACAGGGGATGGGAACTCGGGCTATAGACATTATTTTTAATCCATTTTAAATACTTAAGATTTTAAAAATAGAATAAAATCTCGTAGACAAAAGAATTGCACACCAAGTGAACGCCAAATAAAAACGCCCCCCCCCCCCCCCCCGAAGAGATGCCTGGAAGAAACTCTGTGAAGGACTGAGGTGTAATACGGTGAAAATTGTTAAAATTTCAAGAGATTTTTTTGCACGATTGCAATTCTTTCTCTATACTTCGTATATTCGAGAAAGTAAAAAAGGTGATTTTGAGAGATCATAGACTAATTATAAAATAATATAAATAATCTTAACATTTTTCTATTTAATTATGAACATTAACATATAATAATATGCGGTAGTAATAAAAAGAATCAACTTAAATTATTGAGAGTTGAATTTATTTATTTTCAATTACCTCCCTTGGCAAAATTTAAAAAAATATTTGTAATTAATTAGTTTTATCGACCCTCCTGTTATAATATAATTCCAGCCAATAAGTGCCACACCGGGTCAAACCTGAACTCGCTACGTCACTGATTGTAACCGTATAGGGTTGGGATTTAACATAATCTATGTGCCTTTTTGTAGATTCTTGAGTAACTAATTCACAACATTTTTAAATTTAACAGATTTTCAAGATTCCACGAGTCAAACTAATCACATTGCCGATGATACTTCTATACTTCTAAAAAACGTTTCTCCGCTGGATGTGAGTGAAGTGCAAACATCAGCTAGTAGTAATCTCCAATGTGAGAAAAACATGTCTAATTTTCCAACTCTTGTAGAAGAAAATATATTTTTCAACCCAAAATTTCCATTGTTTAAGAGTAATTTGGAAATCAAATCTAGTTGTTTGAAAGAAATCAGGCACCCAGGAAATGAATTAAAAGAAACTATTTTTGATCAAGAGTTGGATGATCAAGAAAGAGAAAGTGAAATGAGTCCTGCACAAGGAGGCATGCAACTATCTGAAGCAAGAAAGCATACAACAGCAACTAATTGCACTCAGACAGTATCACGTAATGTGACCTGCAGCAAATATCTAAATGATGCTCCAAATTGCATGCTAAATAAAGAAATTTTCATAAATGAAAACTTTTAGTCACCCAGTCAGAGCGGGGGAAAATAAGGAAAGTATGCTGGACAAAATTCTAACTTGTTCTAATAAACTGAGAAGCATGGAAAAACAAAACAAATCATACAGCTTCTATTCTTTTCAAGACCTCAGTAAAGATGGATGCCTTGTCATTAATAGTTTTGGGGCCATCATCTATCCTGGTAATCGGCGCTGCTTAAAAAATAACTGCTCTGTGGTTCAGAAAATAAAGCATCAAAAAATTACTTCTGAATTTTCAGGATTCACTCAAGTTCACTCAGAAATAATTGGAGTTAAAAACAAATGCATACCATGGTCATTAGAATTCAATGAGAATGAATTAGATGAATGGATCAATCACTTGGTTAATTATCACAAGTCGCATGTGTTTGATAACAATTCATTTGACAATGCAGAGCTTAAAGAGAAAACAGACATTGTTTATGTAAGTTATATAACATTATTTGAAGATATTAATTTTGACTTGAAGTATAGTGCCAAAATTATGTATCTTAAAAGATAGGTATAATATCTGATTAGAATATGCCAATAAAAGGTAACACATAATGAGCATCTATATATATAATTCTCTTCATGGAGACCATAGAAAACACCACGCAGCTTAGCCACCACCCTCATCCCCACCTGTCAGGTGAGCTGTGGTTCGCCCCGAATGTTTACAATAGTAGAGCCGGTTCGAATAAGTGACGGCTATTAGGGGCAGATAATTTAGTTTTTAAACTATTTGAAACTAAAGGGAGATAATAAGTTCACCTTGATATTTTCATTGTCGTCTGTAAACGGCTGCTTTCACTGGGCAGGGGGTGTGTGGGGTAGTGTCGAATTCACGAACTATGAATTGTTGATAAGTAGAAAATAAAACAACTAGATAGCGGCGTGTGCTACGTCGCGGGTCAGCTCGTTATAAATAATTGTAGAACGCAATGTACAGCAGTCTCCTCTGCTTATGTAGATATGATTTATGCATATAATAATAATGATATTGTCTTTTTACTTTTTCTGTCAATAAGCTTTCAATTGCTATATTTATACAATTTTGTTTCTAGTACATTCTACTGTAACTTAAGTCAGCTTTCGGTAAAAAAAAAATTAACTATAGCATGAACTATTAATGTAGATCAACACTGAACAAATGAAAACTAATGCAACTAAACCCAAATTTAAACTCAGTTCTGTCTTCTCCTTAAATCTTTGTATTCTGGACAATTCC